AGCCCGCTGACAAGACTGCCATTGTCGACCTGACCAAGACCGAGAAGAAGGTGGAGGTTGACAAGCCAGTTGGAAAGCCGGCCGAAAAGAAAATGCCGAAGAGTGAAAAGCAAAAGGCACCAGAGTCAAAGGCGCAGCCCAGACAGAAAGCGCCGCGACTCAGTGTCGAAGCTGATGCAGCCCTTCGCAAGTTGGAAGAAGCTACGGAACGCCAAGAGGGATCAGTATGGTTGGACCCCAATGACATGATCAACAGGATTCCCAAGGAGTATTGCGGCCAGGGGCGACTGAGATTTCTTTCCACAAAGTTATCTTATGTTCTCCGAGGGCACGCATTGAGCTATGGTGCTCGCAGCCCAGACATCGATCCCATGGATCTTTCGATGGATTTCGAGGCGGTGATGAAGACGATGGCCCACTACGTCTCCTACCCGAAGATCAGTGAGGTCCTGTCCATCGTGCGCAACAGTGACACCAGGCGCTTTCAGGTGAAAGTGGCTCAGCCCGATTTGCCTGATGCAACCTGGAAGGGTTTGCCATGGAAGGTTGTCGCCATCAGAGCTGTCCAAGGACACAACCGTGCAGTGGTGGAAAATGCCAAAATTTCATCGCTGGTGAAGGAAGTGTTTACTTTGGATCCAACCTTTACCAAGGCCGACCTCGACACGCCCAAGTTGCCAAGGACAAACCTTCGTCCAGACCTTGTGCCGGAGATGCTGGCTGCACTTCCAAGGGTTATCTACCATAGCTGCGACAGGCTCGCTATGGACAAGATAGTTGAACATGGTCTCATCCCAGGTGGCTGGCCCCAAAGAACAGGAAGGGCGCATAATTTCTTTATTGCGTCGCATCCATGGGATGATTCAGTCGGTGGCAGAAAGCTCGCGGGAACGCGAGCCGGGAAGCAATACTACATTGCCTTTGACACCGAGCTCGTCGTCCAAAGCGGCTGCCGATTGTTTCGTACAGACGAAGCAATCATAAGCCCTGACTGGATCTCCAACGAGAACATCATTTGCACATATGATGCTGTCAACAGGGAGTTTGCCTGGGTGAATCGCCCCTATGAGATCACGCGTGTGGGGTACAACAACAAAATGAAGACCCACAAGGACCAGGACACTCCGAAGAGAGAAGCACTGTCAAAGAGCCCGTATGCCAACGCCAGGGACAGTTTGAAGGCCTACCTCATGAGCGGCAAGTCCATTCGACCCGGCCAGATGCAGGTGACCGACTCTCCAGAAGAGCTTCCCCCACTTCTTCGTCGACGTGAAGGAACCTCAGGACCCTTTGAGGACAGAGTGACGTTGAAGATGGCCTCCTTTGGTGCCTTGTCCAATGCTGAAACCATTCGCAAAGGCAAGGGCCGGGGAAAAGGCAAGGGAAAGGGAAGCCGCCCGGGAGGGCAGGCCCAGCGCTCAACAAATGCTGAGGATTACATCTACAGCTCAAAGATTGAGATGCAACAGGTCCGATGCCACTTCTGCGGCGAACAAAACATTGAGGGCACCCACAAATGTCAGTCGTGCTTCAAATGGCTGATTGCTTGGTCGGATGGAAGAATTGCGACGGAGGTATGCCGGATGGAAATCTCGGCCAAGAAAACCAACAAGGTATTTTCTCTGGACAAAATCGACTTTGAGAAGCAGCCTCGAGCTCAGCGAGTCTCCGACCGCACCCGAGCAGATCAACGTCGAGCTGGACGAAGCAATTTCGGAAATCTCAAGGACGCTGCTCAGACACATGCGGGAAGATACACGAAGCTCGGCTTCAAGTCGATCCAGGACCGCATGGAGAAGGACCCATTTTATTTGTTCAACAATGCGGTCGGCCAGATCACTCCCGACTGTTGCCAATTTTTGGAGGACTTGGCAAAATGCATTGCCCCTGATGTCGGCCGTACCCGAGAGAAGCGAGAAAAGCAGCTGGGAACAGGTGTCAGCACTCGTTTGATTTTCATGCCAGACTTCAACAGAGACATCCGACTTCCGTTGGACGTTACAAAGGAAGCCATGGTTGCACATCATGCACGAGTTTTTACACTCCCACAATTTGCTGTTCTTGCTGCGGACTTGCTGAAAGCGAGGGGGGAACCCACGCCGATGTTGTTTGGTTGGTCTGGCTCGATGATGCCTGTGGATCAAGGGTCAGCCCAAGATTGTTTCTTTGACCTCGTCGATTTCGCGAAGAGGCAGTGGAAGGAACAATACAACAACATCAAAGGTGAAGAACACTCCTTCGTGGATGAAGCCACTGCATCAGATGTGGCTGATTTTCCGTTGGCAAGGTCCTCCAAGACGGGTACGGGCGAAGGGCGAGAAGGATACCGGCGTCACTTTGACCCGATTCAGAAGCCAGCCAAGGGCAAGGGCAAGGGTTATGGTCAACAACAGCGTCCAATCTTTCAGCAGGCTATTGAGTGCTGGAAGTGCGGTCAGTATGGCCACAAATCCTTTGAGTGCCGCAGTGGATGGAGCCGAGGGCAACAGTGGGGTTCGTATGGATCTTACTCAAGCCGCTCGGGAGGGCAGGCCCAATGGCAAAGCTGGAATTGGAATCAGGGCTACTCTGGCAGAGGATGGACTGCTGATCCTTGGGGAAGATCTACAGCATCAAGCTCCTCAGCAGCTCCTCCGGAGCCAGTGCGGCCACCTTCAACAGCGACGCCTGTGCCTGACACTACTCCTGCTGCTGGCGACCCGGCCCAAGCAGCCTCTGGATCAGCTCCCGCAGCAGAGCCTCCGCAGCAAGTACCGAGGATGCCGCTCGTGATTGCTGAGGAGTACTGCGAGATCAACGGCCAACCGCACTTCAAGCGCACCTACAATGATGGGACGGTAGAGTTTGAGTCTTGGTAGATGTTTCACATCTTGTGCCATGATTTTATGCCTACCGGAAGGTTTGGCCGATTGGATGAAAGCTGACCCATGGTCATTCAGTTCAATCGAAATGCACACATCTTCATAACTTGAAATTCCAACTTGATTAACTTGAAAAACTTTTCCCAATTGCTTCAAAAGAAATTGACACCAGCATCCGATCCAGACGATTTGCGTGTATATAGCCGTGTACATAGGCCTGATACAGTAGCTTTCAAGTCTCCAAGGCAGTGAAAGGAGTGGTAATGCTCCTATGCCTTGGCGGAAGCCAGGCCAATGTCACTTTTGCTTTGCATTGCAGCCACACGCCATGTCAGGGTCCAAAAACATTTGCATTCGACCTTTTTGCCTCATGCATCCGATGAGTTTGAGACTAGTTGCACGACTATGTATAGTTGCCAGTGATGTTCTTTATTCTAGCTTGCCCGCTCTCAGGTCACATCTGGCGAGCGAGCTTCACCTCTCCGTCCTCCGCTAACTCTGCGGGGCGGCGGGGGGTGTTTTTACATTGTCTCACTGGTTGTATATATACTATGTACGTCGTGCGTGGCTCAAGAAACAAGCGTCTACTTGTAGTTGCATTGTGGCTGGGTAGACCTGTAAAACAAGTTTGATATTTCAGGATGGATAGTAAATTGGGCAATTGGCCATACCCCCATTGTACTTCAGAATGGTGTGATGATAAACCAATGGATCTGGGATATCTAGGCCGAAGTACTATGGCTGAATCGTCTCACAGCGAGCATGACTGAGCAAGGGCTCTTGCAGCAAGGTGAACATGATATTTCCAAGATTTTCCAAATTGACTAATGAATTTCAGGAGGGTTCAACCCTTGAAACCACAAAACAGGTCAATACTGTTTTGGGATTTGTTTTGACAAATGCAGATCGCTTCACATGGAGACACTCTGTGAGTGTTGAGAGCCTCCATGGGTAATGATAATCGAAGGAATTAAAGGTTCCCACAGTTTTGGACAAGCCAATATGTGTGGGAAGATTTTTTTGTGTGATCATTTCATGTGATAGTGGTCTTGTGCCCGAGGTTGGACAGACACTACCGTTTAGCAGTTGTCAACTATTGGTCTGTCAAAAACTGGAGTCGTCGCCACAAAACATTTTACAACAATTCTATGTACTTTCTGAATCTTTCTGATAATTGCACATAGCTGTGGATAATGGCCCATTTATAGAGGCTATGTTTATCAGAGGGTAGCTGATGAATGGTATACTAGTCACTGGCCCTTTGATGTTCAGGACATGATTCAGTTCAAAACTGGGACCGCCAGAACAGCTCCACCCTGATGTGCCTTACCAATTCTGACTGGTTTTCTCACCTGATTTGGTCCGGGTAGATCTAGGAGAATGTCATTCACAATTGTAGTACCTTATGAAGACCCTAATGGCGCTTCTATGGTGGTGGGTCCAGCTACCCTGGGTAGCTCGGGATTTGTGGATGATCATTCCCGCCAAATATGATATTTGAATATCTATCCCTATGTACATATATATATATATATTAACCATGGTGATGTAGCAATCATATGGGATATACAGATATCTACAGGGGACATACTAGGGATATATATATATATATACTGGTTGGTGGTTTGGAACATGAATGGATTATGACTTTCCATTCAGTTTGGAATGTCATCATCCCAACTGACGAAGTCCGAACTCCATCATTTTGTAGAGGGGTAGGTCTACCACCAACCAGTATATGATGGAATTATAGAGGTTTTAGATGGTTTTATGGAGTTTCTAACTATGGGACACCATATAAAACCATATAAAACTTCTATAATTGATGGTAAATTCCCATCAATATATATATATATATATTATATATATATATATTGCAGCGGTTTTGAGCCTTCCCCCTTTGGTCTGATTTACAACTCTGTTCCAGGCACCCTCTGGTTGACTAATAGAGAGAGCGTTTCGGAAAATCACCATGTGAAATCACCGGAGGGTAAATCCTCTTTAAAAAAAGCATGTCTTAATCCCGATTGATAGATATTCCATGATATTCCCATTATGTTACCCTTAGATATTGAAATATAACCATCAACATGACTCCCCCTTAATACCTATGAATACATATTATATCATCCCAATGAGGAAAGCTGGGGGATTGCAGTTGGACGATTTGCTGCTGACGCATTTGTTGGAAGCATGCAGGCACCTGGGGAGCAGTCCTGGTGGGCCGATATCATGGGGATATCATGGGGATATCATGGCTATAAATGTGGGTAAAACATTTGGGATGTTTTTATAGCATCTATAAAAATGGTGATGACTGGGGGATGGTTTATTATTGTTTTACCCACATTCTAGATATTATAGGGATTAATAAGAATGTTTATCTACAATAATTAACAATGGTATGATATAATATCTTTAGATAGTGATTAATAATGGGATGTTTAGAGGGTTTACCCTCTGGTTATCTAACTGTTTGCTATGGAAAATAGATGAGCTAGGATGATTTTCCGTTCTAAAAAACCAGTGATATTCCATAGCTTCGCTAAGTAACCAGAATGTAACCACCCAAAAAGAAAAAGAACAGTGGAATTAACCAACATGTAGCTGGATGTTTTTGTTGGAGTTGTGAAGAATCAGTTAGTTGAACTGCCTATATCAATGATTGGGTTTACGCTAGACATATTTATAATTTGGGAGATAATTTGGTTCATAAATCAAGAAGCATAACTGTGGGGCAGCACCTTTAATGGTGGGTGAATATCTACCAACTACATCCAGTCAATGTATTTTGAATGGTAAGGTACCAGACGTTTGACATGGTTATGGCTGTAGATACAAGAACAACATACTCAAAGTCACCCAAAAGGACAGCCAAAGGGTGAAGTCTTGCGCGTCCATGACACTTTCATGATGATTCACTTGTTTAAGTGCTATTGGATCCTCCTGAAAGACGAGCATGTGGCCTTATTTTTGACTCATACCCAAAGCGGATTGCAGGAAAGAGTCCTGGGCCAAAGCATATTGATGAACATGCCTGAGATCTGAGATAGACTTCAACAGGGCAATTTCATACTAGTCTAATAGAAACATCAGGCACTGCTCAAGTGTCAGCCGGAGTCTTGGACCTACATTGGACCTCGCCATCCGCAACCAAGTTCAGAGGGCAATATCTCAAGTTTCTATTGTGGTTTTGTATGTTATTTTCACCACCAAGTGCCGAGTGCCGAGAGTATCAAAAGGAATCAGCCAGCCAGATAGACATTTCTTTCCATGGCACGAAGTTCATGAAATGGGTATGGATCAATACCTATTAATACCATTTTTAGTGGGATGAACATCCACTTACCAGCTATTTTGATGTTCACCAGGGGTACAAGGTTTTGACACACTGCCAAATCTTTGGACATCTTTGGAAACCATAAGTCCAGTCCATTCCATCCGGGGCAACCCTATGGAACCAACTGGAACCAATCTGAGGCACGACTGCAACTACCAGCTGGGGAAGAAGTTTTATCAAGATGCATTGGATTCAGGTGCCGGGAGAAGGATAGACAGTCCGGACTGGTAGAACACAACAGATCAATACAGATCATGTCTGTTTTTCATTTCAGATACCCTCTGGTTATGACTAACAGTTTGCCACAGTATAGATGGCCCATAGAAATAGATGGTTTACCGAACTTAAAAATGGTGGATCTTTCCATGGCCACGTTAAATAACCAGATTGTATCCCAAGTTTCGGAGTCAAATTCGGCGATGGGATTCAAGTCCCTCCTCGTACCCAGCACAATCTTTATCACCTTTGCTGGGGAATTTTCCAACATATTCCAACTTTGCAGTTGCGGGTGGTACTGTCCCTACATTGGCACGCCTCCTGGTTTTTCTGCTTTCAGATATTTGATGTACGTATATATATATACACATATGTGTGTACATACATAATAGATATATATAATATATATAGTATATAATATATATAATATAATATATATATATAATATATATAATATATATATAATATATATAATTTATATATATACATTATAATATATACAGTTAATGCATGAGTCATTGGGATTTTCTGGCACATCAGGTAAATATAAACTGCCTGAATTTTGGCAGATCGGGTGCAGGGTTCCTCTCTCGTAGGTGAATCATGGCCACAGGAAACTGGCTCCGTAGAACCAGTTTCCCCTTGGAATCCCCTTGGAACATTTTTTAGTTTTCCATATATTGGGAATGATACTCCCAACTGACTAATATTTTTCAGAGGGGTTCAAACCACCAAGTAGATGAATAATCACTGATATGAATGCATATAACAAAAAAATAGTATATAAACTGATGATTGGGATTGTTTAATTCACTGATGATTAGTTTATACTAATATCATGAGTTAATAATCAGTGATGGGTACGATTAATCACTTATGATTAGGATTAATCACTGATGATTATGAACTGATGATTTCTTGCTGTCGTAAAATGCCGTAATTTATCCAGCTCTTTGTTTTGCAGGTGTCATCCCATCTGACGTCACTCTGGCCGGGCCGCCTGTACCCATGAAATCGGGCACCAGTCCCAATCCCTATGTTGGTGAGAATAATAATTAATAATAATATTAATATAAATATATATATATATAGGTAATATATATATATATACATTAAATTATTGATACATGTGTGTGTCCATATATTTTAGTTGAAACATTTTTTTTGTTTCCATTCTTGTTGCTTCAATCTCCTCTGGTTTGCTGACCTCATGGCCTCTAATCTGCCACCCTACTGCTTGGTTGATCAAGAAAAAGGGATTAACCCCACAACCAGCCGGGGTAAATGATGATACATGGTACACTTCTCCAGTTTGAATAGTGAAAAAAAACCAACTTAAATTCTTGTTGATCACGTTTTGTTGCTTGACCTCATAAATGTCTTTAAGTCTATTTCTACTTGGTGGTCCCACTTAGTAGCTCAAACCCCTTCGTTTTTTTGTGGATGAAGCCTACTTATCCCACTAACCAGGGATATATCCTACGGATATCTTACAATGTGAGGCCCCCCAGTGATGTTAGTTGGTTTAGATTCGCCCCAGTAACTAGTTCGTTATTTGCGTACCATGTTTACCATAGTGACATTGGAGTTATGTAGGCCCCAACTGAACGCGTTCTCATGGCCGGGGGCCTCACGACTTGTATCCCCAAGGGAGCCATGGCAGTCATGGGCTGCGTTTGCCCTAGGTCACCCTGCTGAAACTGTTGGGCCGTTGTGCTGCCTCGGAGGAAGCCTTCCAAGTGCTGAAGAGCCACGGAAAAAAACAAAAACGGTTGGTTCTGCGAACGCGCCCAGCGCCAAAGAAATTGGATTAGCCTAGGATAAATATGTGGAATGATGTGGAAAAGTTATAGTTTCATGTAGTTTAAGTAACATAGATGTGGAAAAGCCATGGCTTCGGAAAGTGATGATCTACTTTCATGGTGGGTAAACTCCACATATTGTTGTATGCTTACCTGGTTTTCCACGTCTATGTTACTGTAGTTTATCCTGAGGTAACAACTCAGGTTGAGTCAGCAAACCAGGTGTTGTTAATTACTTGACCAGCAATGAAGCTACCCATGCTGATTGAGTCAGCAAACATTGGGATTAAATCAGCATTTTTTGAGGATTGGAAATGATAGTCATAAGATGTCATAAGAACTCACAATAGAATAATGACAATTATAAACATATAGAAATTTGTAGTTGCTTAATTTTGTATGATTTTGGGTTGTCTCCCCCACTGTCTTTTTTTTCCAGGTTTCGTTGGCTCCGCCAAGGACATGGGAGAGTCTTCACAAGAGGCGGCCCTCAGTGATTCACTACACCTGCCTGATGCAAGGCTGCTTTCGCTCTAAGAACTACGAGCTGGTCCCTGGGCAGTTCATTCATGGAGATCCGGTAGACGGTTGCGGCAACCCTCTATTGACCCAATACTCAATGGATTGGGAAAAAGGGAAAATCCTAACCGGAAACCCATGGCTTTTTACCAGCAAATATCGGGTTTTCCTGTAAATTTCCCGGCAAACCAATTCTATGAAATACGGGGATTCTCATCCAATGTGGAGTGATAGATGTGTCGTTGTAGGCAGATCGGGAAAGGGAAGAAACTTCACAAGTCTCTGGTCCACTCTGAAAAGGGGCATGTGACCAGTGATATCATCAATGCTATCTGATCATATCGTAAATTGTAGTGACCCCACTAAGATATCATAAATGGTTTGTACTGGGAAACAGTCCAAATATAGCGTAAATTTCAGGACCTTGGGAACTCTATGGAACTCGGGTATTGTGCCCAGATCATATTTTCGTTTTTGGGGGTTCCATGCCATGTGTCTGGCATCGTTTCTACGGGGCCATAGAGCTGAATGGTGTGTAATTATATACAACTAGACATAACAATGAGTATTGATGAATGATGATGGATATTCATTGATATTGAACTTTCTATAGTTTAATTATTCTGACAATGTGACATAGGGTCGTTGGGTGTCACCATCTCTGCCCGGGAGGCCTTGAGCTGTGGCTCGAGAGAAATAGGGCGCTGCGTTTTGCCCCTAGGACTCACCACTGAAACAGTGGTAGCGGAGCCGGCTACGGCCGGCAGACCTTTCCTGGCCATGCCGGGAGGAGCTCCGCGGCGCTTTCGCCCACGCCGTGGTGCCGCTGCAGCTGGGCGAGGGGGACAAGGACACCAAGCTGATCCGGCTGCCGATGAGAGCACCGAAGGGGATGGCGCTGTGGACGAGGCCTGGGAATCCGAAGGCCACCAACATGGAGATGGAGTGACCAGCAGCTACTTCGGAGCGAACGAGCAGGCTGGCCCTTCAACCTCTGCAACGACTGGTGCGCCTCATGCCGAAGGCAGCGCAACAGCAGGCCCGACAGAGACCAATGGGGCGACAGCTGCTCCGCCGCCTGGCTATGGGATTCCCATGGACTCAAATGCAAACATGAGCCCAATAACCAACGTATGGTCTGGAGCGCCGGCTTCCAACTGGAGTTCGATGCCAAGCAGATTGTTTGGCACTACACCTCCGCAAGGAGTTCACCCTGGAGGACCAGTACATGGGGGATTGCCACCTCAAGCCTATGGAGGTCTGGGCATGGCAGACTATGGTCAACCTTTTGGCCCCTATGGCATGGGTGTTTATGGCCTGACGCCACCACAACCTGCAGTACCCCAACAAGCACTTCCTGGTGGACATGGTGCAGTACCCCAACAAGCACTTCCTGGTGGACTTGGTGCGGTACCTCAACAAGCACTTCCTGGCGGACATGGCGTACTACCTCAACAAGCACTTCCTGGTGGATACGGCGCAGGACATCGACCAGTACTCCCTGGCGGATTTGGCCCTCAACCTCATCAAGTACCTTCTGCAGTATTCCAACAAGCTCCCAATGGAATGATGGGCAATGGAATGCCTGGCTTTGGGCAGAACTTGCAGTCCAATGGCATTGGCTCGGGGGGCAACTCTCCATTGGCAGGCATGACGCCTCCGGTCGCTGGTAGCCCTGACAGGCATGGACCGAGAGCGCAACCTGGAGACCCATGGAGCAACTACAGGCCCACCGAGACCGTGACCAATGCCAAGGAGTTCAGCCAAAGACTTCGAGAGGAACGGCCGGGCTTCAGGCCAGTGACTTCGGCCTTTGAAGCTATGGGCTATGGGCAAGACGATGCCGTCGTCTACAGCACCACCTGGTGCCAATGTGACGAACGAGCAACTGCTGGCGAAGCTCGTTGATGCGGTCTCTGGCGATCGCAAGCTACCCATTCCAACTTGGGACGGGACTCCATCTGGACTACGTGGCTGGCTGCGACAACTGTCCTTTTGGGAGACGGAGTCGAACCTGCCCAAAGAGAAATGGGGTGTGCGACTTTCCAGTCCCTTTCTGGAGAAGCTCGCAAGATCGCCGAGACGGTCAGCACGGAGGTCTTGCTCACCTCGGATGGCTACAGCGCGGTGCTGACTTCGCTGATGCAGAAGTTCCAGCCCTACTTGGACGCTGTTGGCCCGCTCTCCATCGACACGTTCCTGTACTCAGGTGAGAGAGCCCCGAGGGAAACCTTCAACGCCTACTTGAGCCGCAAGTCCACCCAGAAGCAGGAGCTGGAGTCGCAGATTGGTGCCGAGGTCCATCCCTTGATAGCTGGACGTGTGCTTCTTCGACAAGCTGGCCTGACCGAGAACCAACAACAACTTGTGGCCCTGAAGAACCACACCCTGCTCTCCTATGACGAGGTTGCCAAGACCCTGCAACCTCTGGACAGGTTGGACACGTTGGCCAAAGCTGGAGCGTTGACAACAGCGACGACTGGCAAGGTCTACATGCAGACAGCTGAAGGAGATGGCGAAGATGAAGAAAACTATGATGAGGAAGCAGAAGAGGAGCTGGAGACTGAGGACGAAGACAGCGACTTCATCCAGTTCGAGGACAAGGAGTACGACGAGATGGAGGCGGTGTATGTCCAGGCCTACAACGATGTGAGAAAGGATTTGAGATCCCGCCGCAAAGAGCGTGGATTCGTCAAGCATGGCCGACGATCGCCTTCGGGATCGAGCAGCCCGAAGAAAGGCCGTGGCAAGGGCCGTGAAAAAAAGGGAGACCGAAAAAGGTCAGCTGGCAAGCAGCAGAAGGACGAGCCCTACATCAGGGGAACGGAGTCAGAGCTGCTGGCACGCACCAGGTGCTTTTCGTGCCAGGAGTTGGGACATGTCAGCAGGAACTGTCCGCATCGATCTACAACGACGACAGCAACTCCGAAGAAGACCTTTGTGGCCGTGACTCCAACCGGCCATAGCACGACAACGTCCTATGCGGTCTTCAAGCACGAGTGCCAGTACCCTCCAAAGGAAGAAGCTCTACTTCGTGCAGTATATGCAGGTGTGCAAGTCCGTGGATTCGAGGCCGTGATCGACACCGCAGCAGAGCAATGCATCATCGGCAGCAAGGCCTTTGCGAGCCTTCAGGAAGAGCTGGCCTTGCTCAACCTCCGAGTGGTGCCCATCAGGCAGCCTGCAGTTCCATGTGCCGGCATTGGAGGCCGAGCCAAACTGCAGGGACTTTACGATGTTCCAACATGCATCGCTGGCCTGTTGGGTGTGCTGCGCTTCACTGTCATCACGGACACCCTCAGCTTTGTGACGCCACCGCTGCTGGGAGTTTCCTATTTGGAGGCGGTTGGAGCCATCATAGACCTGAGCACCAACCACTACAGCACTCCGGATGGCCACACTGCCAACATGCGACGTTTGTCTTCTGGCCATCGGGCTATCCACATGCTGGACTTTGACGCCACGCCCTGGAAATTGCCACTACAACATCAAGTTCGCGGCCACGATCCTTTCCGACTTCCTGTTCCTCGTTCCTCGCACTATTTTTCGGGAGGCAATGGTGCTGAAGGTTTTGGAGATTTGCACGTTTCGTGCGAAGCTGATGCTGGTAGCCCCATGGACGAGACCTTCTTCCAGACGTACTTGGAGTCGCAGGTTTTGCCCTTGGAGAGCAGTGAAATGACAGCAACACCAGTGGCATCAGCGGCATCGAGACCTGATCGGTCAAGATCTCCAACAAGAACCAATGCTTCGGAACGCAACACCATGGCCGACGACCAGAACAATCAAGGACTTGGAGCAGGAGCCACAACGACGAGACGTGTGACCTTCGACACAACGACTGCAGCTGGTGCCCCGGCAGATGTTGCATCTTCGGCGGCGCCTACATCCCCTATGACATCCCCAGAACCTGCTGAAGAACCTGGAGCTGGTGGAGGAGCTTCTGCAACACCTACACCAACAGATGCCAATCTGCCAGAGACGCAGGAGGAATGGCACGCAGAAGAGGCCCCATCGAGCTTGTCCAAAGAGACAGATCCACCTGTGGATCCCTTTGACGAAGTGGGCAGCCCGGAGTTTGTCATGCATGACGGACAGGCGCTGGACCCCAATGTGGAGACCAAGGTCTGGGTGATCAAGACAAACAGCGACAAGGAGCTTTTGGCGACCTACGTGGGTTGGAGGATTCGCATCTTGGATCCCTTCGATGTTCCACAAGCTCGCCGCTATGACCTGACGGAACGCAGACAGGTGGTTGCCAAGTTTCCGCAGAATGAGTCGCGGGTGGTGAGGGACTGCTGGCCCACCAACATCAACCGCATCATGGAGAAGCCGTGGCATGGCGACATCACCTTCTACGAGTCGCATGAGAAGGGCGACCCGTTCCGACCTTTTGGAACTTGGCTGGATGCACAGCCACGTGGATATCCGCGACCACCTGGACCACCGCCTGGGTTTGGTTTGACCTCATCGTCTTCAAGACCTTCTGGCGCAAGTGGCAGCTCTGGTGGGGGCGCTGGACACTACACACACCAACACGGTGGACATGCAGCTTCCGCGCAGCAAAACAGTGCGGCGCAGCTGATGATGATTGAGTACAAGATGGATGCCACCGATGGTGATGGAAATTGGCATGAAATTTGTGAGATGGATGCTGGTGATGATGATGAACCACATCGGCATGATTGCAGTGCAGTCGAATCGTCAAGTCGTGGTGAAAATTCAAAGGCAGGTGAGGTTTTCCAACTCAGCATGCTGAAGAATTGTTTGAGAAGAAGGAGACCTCTCTCCACTCGCAGCCCAATTGCTCAACTCATGAGCTGGACATTTTCAAGAGCAGCCCAAACGTTCCTGCACCGTCTGCAACGTTGCAATGGCGCCCAAGAAGAACCAGTCGAGCGCAGCTGCAAGCAGCCTTCAGGCCTCCATCCTCTCCATGATGGACAAGGAGGACAGGGGCGAGGAATCGAGTCGAAAGCTTGGGACTCGGAAGTGCGAGACAGCTTGGTCTCGCGTGGTGAAAGCTATGATGCTGCTGATCAACACAACGCGCTCGCAGATGGTTCTGGACTACCTGCAGAAGAAGGGGGCGGTGTGCGACGAGGTGGACACCGAGAACGTTGGGGACAAGTTCAAGAAGGCGACCAAAGCCAAGGGCAAGGCGAACCAAACCGAGTGGATCGCTCAGGGAATTGGCAAGCCTCTGAAAAGGTCAACGGCACAAAAGTTTTGGGAGAAGGAGCCGGAGCAGTGCAACCACCCTGCAGAGTATCTACGCTGCAGAGCCAACCGGTTCGACCGCTGGTGGGTGTGCCTGACGTGCGGATCCCGCTGGGAGAGGTTCGATGTGGACCATGCGGCATCCTCGACAGCCACGGTGGTGCCAGAGACGCCGGACTCCCACAGCCTGAAGACCCTGGAGGGCACGTATCCCCAGTTCTTGCCAGCTCCAAGATCGAAGCCAGACCAGGGAGCAGTGACCCTGAAGGTGACCAACATGGGAAAGATTTCCATGGTGGATGGAGGCACTGGGTCAACTACGTCCCGGAGATTGAAGACAAGCTCCCAGGAGACCGCTCGGGCACGATCTGCTTCCAAGGAGCGCCAAATGACGGGACTACGTGCAAGTCAGGCTGCCAAAAGAGTGCCGACCTTCAACATCGACCGCGAGGGCACGATGGAGCACTTGGAGGAAGCCTTCGGACCGACAGAGGTTCTCATGATCAGCGACGAGGAGAAGGAGTGGGATGCCGGCCCACCGCACGCAGACTAGTGCACAAGAGTCAGCTTGGTGGGAAGTGCGGCAAGGCTTTGGGGTCGCTTCTCAAGACCCATTTCTCCAAGTTCATGGTTTTCCTTTGCATGAACTGTTGCCTGGCGCCCACTACAGTATCAGCTTTTGGATCCCCCGATCTCATTGCATGGCACCACGACAATGAATTCAAGGTCGCAAAGACTGAAGATGCTTAGATGTGCTGGGTGTTTGTTAACTAGTTGTAACACTTTGATGATGTTAACTATAGTTAGCTACAAGGTTAAAAACTTTAGTAACAAGTTTAACATAGTTAGGATAAGCATCTATAACTATTTAGGTTGCAGCTTAACAAGGTTAAGAAAGATAAGAAATACATTTTTTTTTAAAGTATGTTGTCAATAAATCTTGAAAGTGTTTTTCCAAAAAAGAAAAATGTATATTGCATAGTTGTATTTTTTGTAGACATGCAACAGATTTTTTTCATGATTATGTTGGAATATGTTTTCAAAACAATCTATGTATCAATATATAAGATAAGCAAAATGTTTTTTTTGTCTTCTGAAATTCAAAATTCCAATGTTCCATATTGTTGTGTGAAAGTGTACTTTGAAAGTCATGAAACTATATATATTGTTTTAAAAAGAATAAGATTGATTTTTTTGGGAAATGAACAATTCTTTTTGCACAGGGCTGATGGCTGGTTGATTATAACAACATTTGGATGTTTGCAGATAGCTACATTGTAAGTTGAATACGTTTGATTTTCACATGCCAAGGTCACAGCAAGTCAAAAGCTCTTTGGTTTAAGCATGAATTTACACATGTCAGGTTTCAATAACTTGCAGCCTTGAGGCTCCAACACATGCAGCCCTGAGGCTCCAACACATGCAACCCTGAGGCTCCAACATCTTGAAGACAAGAAAACTCAACACATGCAGCCTGCAAGGCTCTTATTCTGGTTACAACAAGGAATTTCCTTGAAAAATGTTGAAGCTTGCCAGCCAGTGATTCCAAATGTGTGAGTGAAAATCCAGTGCCAAAGGTCTTATTAACATACACCAAACCCATGTGGCGCCTGGCACATCCAAATTCACTTTTTTCAATGGTAGTGTGAACTCAGGTCAGGTGAGGAGGCAACAATGTAGTCACCAATCCAGTCTCAGCTTTGTTGAAAATGACAACAGCTGCCAAAAGGTCCAAACTAACAAGATGCAGTTCTGCTTCCTTTGGAACCCATTTGGCAACTTTTTTCTTCACATTGACTTCTTTCAAAGAAAAAGCCTTCAAGATGGCACAAGTCATGCCATCGCATTCCAACAAATACTCTAAATGGCCACTTCCAAATGGAAAAGCATCATGTTGTTCTGCAGGCAGTTTATAAAGCACACAATCCCCAATCTTGCAAATATGTCCAGATTTCATTCTGGCAGCATTGCTGGCTTGGCAAAGGTGATGGCTTTGGGCAATGCCTTGAGCAATCAAATAAGCTTTCAATTTATTGGAAATGGGATGTGGCTCCAAAAAATAAGCTCCCTTTCTGTATGCAGCTTCTTGTTTCAAATGTGCCAGGTGATCACAAGTCAGTTCTTTCAAGAGTGTGTCTTCATAGCGATTTGTGTTATACAATCCAGAGCCATATCTTCTTGCCACTTTGTGCTTCCTCTCCAAAGACCAACAAGAAGGCAGGCCATCAAATTGCTGTAGGGCTTGTTCAAAATGTAGACACCAATGAAATTTGGGCCTCATGCTTCCAGCCCAACCAGCAGCCTTTGTCAAGGCTAAAGCCTTCTCTACAGCTTGCTGCAATTGTCCAGGCTTAGGCAAATGTTGAGTCGAAGCCACCAACAAATCCAAGACATGGCACCATGCCAAATAAACTTGCTTTGGGACATCACATGCTGGTAGGACACAGCAAGTTTCCATAAAGTAAGCCAACACAGGGTAAATGGACAACATTTCTGATGCAGACAGCACCATTTTTTCATTCTTTTTGTGGGTCTCCACCTTCTTGGCTTGGAACAATTTGTGAAAAGCAGCACTTCCAGGTAAATTGCCAGGCCAAATCCACAGTTGTAAATATTGGCAGAAGGTGCTCCAAATGTTTGGCATGTCTGTTGCCATAGCTTCCAGGGCCCACTGCATGATGTAGCAAAGAACTCCATTGGAGCATAAGGCATGCATCCAGTCATGCACATAACCAGTGGCAGGTCTTAGCAAACCCAAATCTTCCAGAGGTTTGCTCATCAGAAGTGCCTGGGGTGAAAATGTGAAGCCACAGGCTTGCTGCCACTTTTTGAATGTGGCTTTGTTTTCAGTATTCTTTTTGATTTCTAACCTTTTCCATGATTGCAATATCTCCTCATCACTGCAAATATCCAAATCTTCAAAGAGAAGAAATTTGGAAGTGATTTTGTAATCTTCTTCCAAGCTGCTGTTGCCCTGGCTCACTCCAAAAACATTTTTGCAAAGCTGACACAATCTGGAGCCTGTATCTTGTCTGTTCATAAAAGTTTGCCTTTGTGATGCTCCATCCTGCAAATGAAAGCCCAAAGTCCAAAAAAGTCGTAAGCATTGATCACCTCTCTTCAAATGTATTCCAGCCAAGGGTGACCCATGTTCATGCAGGAACATTCTCTCCAACAATTTTCTGACCAATTGTGAAATACCAGCTTCAACATTGGAAACCTCATTGGTTCTGACAGCCATCACAGTGAACCAATTTTTTTCATCAGTCAACACATCAGTACCCAGCTCAAGCCAGCTGAAATAAAGACACCAAGTCTTTCTAGCTGTGCTACTGAGTTGGTTTCCAGGGTGCAACTCATCTGCATACAGAATGCCTTGCCATGGTCTTTGGAAACTGGATGGCCTTTGGTTGTGCTTGTCAAGCAAAAGCTGAAAGAAATATCCTCCTTCAGCAAACATTCCTTGTAGAAATGTAGGCAAGTTGAGCATAGGAATTCTTTTCCTTCCACCAGAGATGGTAATGACTTCCACATCTTCTATCAATTGTCCATAACTGGATAAATCTTGCAAAGTCACATCCACAGCTTGCTTGATGTTCTTTCTGCTATGAAGTTCAGGACGGCCTTCCTTTTGCACCAAATTTAAAACTTGCTCCCAAGCTGAACAACTCAAGTATGGTAACTTTCGCCTAAAGGTCTCTAACCTTCTTAGCTTGGCAGCTCTGGTGTTCTCATCTTCCATCTATCCATGGCTGGACCCAAAGTGTGTTCTGATGTTGGGTTAGCAGTTGTCTAAATTCGAATGTCTCTCATATCTTCTGAAAAAAATGTTTGTTCTGGTACATGTATATACATAAGTCATCAAGCTATCATATTTTGCACCTCTGAACAAAATAAATCATGAACTGGCAGTCCTTGAACCATATGGTCTAGCTGATGCAACCACAATCAAAGTTGGTTCAACATAGTGTGGCAGGCAACCAGCCTTGTGCAGGCTCCAAGTGACAAAAGCAAATAGCCTTGTGGAGGCTCCCTATACCCAGAGCACCCTGAGCTGTCTTGACCTTTTTTTCCCACAGTTTAGATCACAAGTCTTCCAACATGCCTTGCTTGAGCAAAAACACTGTGCAACCTTAGTGGCTACATCACTGCCATGACATGGCAGCCCTGCACAGATTTCAAACAAGCTTCTATTTGTAAATCTTTCCCCTCTTTGCTTGGTCCTTCTTCCAGTTCAAGTAATCTGCTCTTCCATGGAATCTCTGGCCCTTGAAGGTTGGATTACGACATGTTTCACATCCAGCAGCACTTCCTCTGCATCGGAGGCAACCCAATATCTTTTTCTTAGAGGCTGAGCTTTTGCTGGTGGAGCTTCCTTTGTTCTCACCAGAAGCTGGTTTGGCAGCTGGCCTTTTCATAGAGGTTCGGGGAGCTGACATTTTGGCACTTGCAGGTCTCTTCAACAAGATAGCCATGGCTTCTTTCTCATAATCTTCCAACCCTTTTTTTCTTTTGGCTTTGTCTGAGAATCATCCATAGTGACATCATTGCTTTCTTCATTGTTTTTTTCTTGGTTCACATTCTCTTGGTCCAAAGGCTTGCCATTCTTTCCAGGCTCATTGGTCAATGCCAATGCCCTTTTTGGAGGTGAGGATGCCTGGCCCATCTGTTGCTTCTCTTTCATGATGTCCAATGCACTCACACTGGATGGCAATGCTTTCTTTGGACTGGCCTGCTGGTTGAAGAAGGTCAGCTTCATGCCTTGGGCAGAAGAAGCTGAAGGCTCTGCCAAGGGCTTGTGTACCAAATCTCTCAAAGCCTGCATGAAGTCAGCAGGGAATCCATGAGCTGAAGAAGATTGCTTCCCTTGCAATCTTGTCCTGGAATTCTTGCTCAAATTCGAGTTTGTGCTTCTGACACATACCTGACTGGCAATTTCTGGGAGTTGAGGCAAAGTTTTGAGACTTGGCTTTTCTTCACCATAGACTTTCCCTAACCAATCTTGTCCAAGGTCTGTGGGCAGCTCTGGGTAAACCTTCAGAGGTGCAACTTTGGATTGAATTTTGCTGGCTTGAAACAAGCTGGTGAATTGTGTAGCCAGCATGTAGGTGTAATCACCATCTGGCATCTGCATCCCATGCCACAACATAGATTGCACTAGCAAGGCCACACAATACCTTTTGGTATCTTCTTTGATGGAAGTCAATCCCAACAACCTCAGCCTTTGTACAATCAAGTGTGGAGCTTTGGTAATCTCTCCAGTCATAAGTTGCTGGATCTCAGCTTCTGTCAGGTAGGCAGGAACATTCACCAAGCTTTGAGGGCTTTTCACTATCTTGCTTCCCTTGGATCCTTCTCCTCCTTCAGCAGCTCTTTCCATGATTTTGTCTTGAAGCCATTGCTTCTTGGTATCTTCCAAAGAACTCTTTGTGATAGCCTCCAGCATGCTGACATAATCAGATGCCAACAAATTGGTGCTGCAGTCAATCTTCTTCAGCAAAGCTACCAACAAACTCTCTTGTAGTGCAGGTGCACTCTTGAAAGCCAGCAACTTCTCAACATCTTGAAGCTCCTTGATAAAGTCTTTGGATGTCCAAGCCATGGCAGAAGTCTAGCAATGGAAGCAATATTGTATTTGTTGTGATTGTTGGTAAATTTGATTTGGTTTGCATGCCTAGATTGATTTTTGCAATAGACATTGTGGAGCAGCCATCTCTGGGATATCTGTTTGCAACCAAAACATATCTGCAGCAACAACATTGAGGAAATCAAGTAGCCAATAATGGCTCACTGCAAGAACATGCCATCATAGGAGCACAACTGACCAAAATCCAAGCTCTATGCAGAACTATGTTTCAACCCAGCATTTGTATGCTCTCAAACTGTTAAGTTGCCAAGCATGCAGCCAATGGCTCATCTACAACTATAATATGTGTACATATGAAATAGGATTGTTTAGTACTCTGGTAATCAGAATAGAATAAAGAAGAAAAATAAAACATATATTTAATTTGTAGATTTGGTACATGCAGTTCCAAGAAAATGTGATAATTGTTATGTGCTCATACAATGACTTACAATCAAGATAGTATATTTATATATGTACAGGAATGAATTATATTTGAATATTTAATAATGTCTTATACTACATCAAAGTTTTGTTTTACTTGTAACTTTATTCATATATATATGCAATATTTAATTTAGTTTACTGAATTAGTAATTGAATTACTAAATATTAAATTCAACATATTGACTTGATATTTATAGTATTTGAAAATGAATTTAGTGAATTGAATTGGTTTTTAATGTATTAAGATCAATTCAACATATTGAATTGGTTTGCAAAATATAGCAACACCAATTCAGTCTACTGAATTGATTTGCAAAATATAGCAAAACCAATTCAGTCTACTGAATTGGTTTGCAAAATATAACAAAACCAATTCAGTGTACTGAATTGGTTTGCAAAATATAGTAAAACCAATTCAGTGTACTGAATTGGTTTGCAAAATATAGCATAACAAATTCAGTGTACTGAATTGAAGTTGTTTATACACAATGTCTAAGTCAACAAACTAAAATGATTAATTTTGAATCCATGCTGAATATATTGCAGTCGAGAATCTCTTCTACATCTGCTCCAAACAGAAAGAACAACTTGTCCACTGGCTCAGTGATGGGGAAGCACTGGAAGAAACAATTCCACTTAGCCATGTGGAATGGAGTGTTCAGCTCCTGCTTGGTCTCTGGGCTCATCTGTTTAAAGGTATCCATGGCTGAGTGGGCGGAACAATTCGTGCTGGAATCTTTTACATGTGATGAAGCATGTCATTGATGCCAACTCTTGTTCATTTACTTGCATCACATTCATTAGTACTCTATCATTCTTGAACCAGGAACTGAAAATATAAAACAAAATGAATGCTAATGTCATCCATGCAAAGTCATGCAAACAAACAACCAAACAATTCAAGTCCAAGCAGCCATTAATGGCTCCATGGCAAACCCAAACCATGTGTTTCCATGATCAATCAGCCTCCAGGGCTCCATGCACTGACAGGTAGGCAGCTTCCTATCATATATTAGTTTGCAAACCTTGCATAATGATTTATATTTTGTTATTCATTGATTTGCTATATTTACAAAGAACCAACATCAATCACTTTTGGTCTTGGCAGGACACATCCACCCAGCACTTTTTTCTCAGGACACTTGGCAACATGCTGTGACATATTTGCAAAAAAGACCTCTGGTGGAATGTTCATCACCAGGATGATTGTCTCAAATCATTTAGTCTGAGCACCAAGGGAACATGCTGTCAAAACCACGGGTCCTCAGAGTATAGATATGGTTGTCAACCAAGGTCCTCATCTGTGGATCCTGCAAGTACCTGAACTGACATCCCCATTGGGTCAAGACAAATTCTATTCACCATGTTTTCTCATTTATTTGTCAAGAAAAAAACTAAAATCATCACCAAGTTGCAAAGCCACCAGCTGCTCTGCCTTCTGCCAATCCTGCTGGATGTAAGCCTCAGGGATACAGCTTGAAGGTTTGCAAAATACATTACACACAAGCACAACATGAACAACACATGCAGCCCACAGGGCTCAACATGCACCATGAATGCAGCTGGGCAACTGCCAGCAAAGGAACCATGTAGTTCTTCCATCCAGTGGGGGCTTTGGCTCCAGACTGACCTGCAATCCACTGGGCAGAGGGTGAAGACTTTCCCTTGCCCTGCTCACCTTCCTCAGCAGGCTTACCTTTGCCATAAGGCCCAAGATCTGGCACTCTTGGAGGAGGAGGAGGTTGCAATAATGGCATGCCCTTACCTTCAGCACAAACAGAAGATGGTGCAGGCTCCAGCAAGTCCTGGCCATGCTTCTTCTCAAGGTGTTGCAGTTCCAACTGCAGTTGATCAGCCTGCATCTTCAACTTTTCATTCTCCTGCTTCAAGTTTGTGTTCTCCACCTTGAGCTCCTGGTTCTGTCGCAGCACAGCTTCATACCTTTGCAGGAGTGAGTAAGTCATCTGGGGGACAAAGACACTAGCTCCAGTCAGGATCCAATTGGCTGCTGTCTGGCTCTGGTGCGGTATGAAGATGTCACCAGAGGGAGACATGTTGACATCTGCAATCCTTGCCAAGCACCTCAGATTGCTCCAGCTGCCACCATCCTCCACATAGTGATCGCTCACATACCAGCAGGGTTGCTTGGGCCCATGCTTGGTGTACCACATCCAAAGGTCCTGGTCCACCTTCTTCAAGGGATAGGTCCCATTGACCATGAAGTCTGCCAACTTCCAGGTCCCAGTGAGCACTTTCGAGATGCTCCTTGGTTTGTGCAGAAGTGAGACTGCTGAGGATACTACCTATCATTATTGTCAACCCAACCTACTTACAATCAAGCAGCTTACAACAAGATCATGAAATCAAACAGCCCTGAGGCTCCATGCCACCAAACATGAATTGCAAGCATAAACCATAGACAACCTAATGAGCAGCCTTACAAGGCTCAAGCCTATCCATGCAATTAAACTGCCAACTGTTCCATATTTTAGCATATATTGAACTTCATATTCCACACAGCCACAGACAATTAGCATCTTTTTTGACCCAGCCATTGCCCAAGACATTCTAGTCAGAGATAGGCTTGACAAACTTACCACTCTTGTTGTAAGATCTCTTTGCACCTTCTGCACATGTGGAGCAGTCAGCTTCCAAATATTCCAAACATTTCTGCACATTGGAAGCTTCTAGAAGGATAGCCACATCAGCATGCTTGCTGGAAGGCCACATGGCAGTCAAACTTCCAAAGTCATCTGGCAAAGTCACCACAACAGATGCCTCTGATAAGTTCCCACATTCTTTCTTCTGCTTCTTCTTTGGTCTCTGCTCTTCACTTCCAAACAATGACTCAGCACCTTCTTCTTGGCCTTCAGCCATGGTCTCCTTCTCCAAGCTTTGGGCATGTACCAAGGACACCAAATTCATGAGCCTTGGTCCTGCTGACAAGGACAAATTCTTTTTCTTGCAATCAGGACACACCAGCTTGGTTATGCTGTGGTGAGAAGGTCGAAGCTTCAGAAAGGTCTGGTTTTCAGCATTGGTCAGCAGCAAATCTTCAGGGATCACCACATTGATGCCTTTCCATTGGATGGCTGTCAGCTGCTTGATTTCCAAGGCCATGGGCAAGGAGAGGAACAGCTAAAACCTTTGGGGCAAATTTGAGAAGCCACATTGTTTCCAAGTGCAACATACAATGACAACATGGCAATGTACAAAGGACACTTACACAAAAGCAACATCAAACAGCCTTCCAAGGCTCTCACACACAGAGATTCCAATTCATTTGTGCTGATGTTGTTTTCTCATCTTCCTCTGTCCTTGCAATTGGTGAAACTGTGAAACATCATCTCTTGGCTTTTTTGCCACTGCTACTTTTGGCAGCTGCTCCAGCAGTGGCACCTGACTCTCCTTCCTTCTTTTTTCTTTTCTTGGCCAACATCTCTGACTCACACAACAGCAAATCTCCTGGCTCCAAATCTTTGGTATTCACATAGCAAGGCAGCTCCAAGCTGCCACATTGTTTCTTTTCCAATTGCATGTTGACCAACTCCTCATCCATGGTGGGCTTCACATACCAAAATGGTACAAGTACAGTTTTGTCATCTACCTTGTCAAATTCAGAGATCATCTTGGGGGCATTCACTCCAAATTTTCCCACCATGACTTTCACCTTGTCTTTGTCCTGGTCCTTGACATGGAACAAGGATCCATAAGGTTTGAGAACCAAAGATCCAGCAGCATTTTAAATGCTGCAGGGCACAGACTCCCACTGGATTTGCCACAAAGCCAATTGCTTTGGCATTTACAGGGCCAGTCATGAAAGCCTTGTGCAATTGCACCTGGGTTGAATGCAATTGGATGCTTTCTTGGATACCAGGGTGCTTGTACACCAGCTGCTTTTCCGCAATGTCATCAGCCAATAGAATTTGCATAGTCTTCTTGCTTTTTCTCCAATCTTTCAATTGATCTCCCAAAGGCACCACCAAGGTATCAGCAGCCCCAACCAGTGGTACATGTTCAAACCTCAGTGGACCAAGGGCTTGCGCAAGTTGTGGAAAAGTAAGCACCACCCCCAAAAAGCAAACTTTCACCCCAAAAATATCCAAGGAACTTAGCTCCAGCAAGGGTCACTTCCATGAGCTGATAAATGGTGCTGCCCACCTTGGGATTCTGGTAATTGCTCCCAATCTCCAGATGTTGGTTCTGCAGCAATGCCACTGCAACAGGATCAGGCTGCAACAAGTCTTGGAAAGCTTCCTGGCTTCCTGCTGCACCAGGACTTGGTGCATCACCACTGTCCTGACTGGAGATGTCAGGAGGGCAAAGCATTTCAGAAGCAAATTGGTCTCTGATGTCTTCCAAAGATTTCCAGGTCTTGCTCTCCCTGCCCATTTTTTGTTTCTGGCAAATGAAAAGCACCACTCTGATACAAAGACGACCAAAAACATGCAGCCTCTTCAGCTCTTCCAAGTGTTTGGCCTTTTCCACTAAAGACCAACTGTTTGCTAGCAATTTCTCTGCATCTTGGAGCTCAGCTTTGCATTTTGTTTTCAAGCGATCAAAATCACTCTTCACCAACAGCTTGCTGATCTTGTCCACAATCTTGCTGGATGTCAACTGAGCAGCAAGCACAGCCACCCTGAAGCATGGCAATAAATTGCCACTGACCTTGAAGTCATAGTGAGTCAACAGCTTCATGAACTCTTCACCCAGCAAAGCGCTTTCTCCAAATTGTTTGCTAAAAGCAACCAGAAAGGTTGCCAAGGGCATCTGCTCTCCCCCAGTGTACAATTTAGCAAAGTGTGCTATTTCATCCAAATAGTCTTTGCATTGAGGCTCACCCATGGCAGTCTGGGCCACAGCAGCTTCCAATGTCTTTCCCAACTGGATATATTTACTGATGGTGGCCAAGCATTCCAACTCAGTGGCAGCCACTTGTGCACTGTTGCTGCTGTTCAATGCAGCAGAGTACAGCAAGGGCAGTGTAGGGAAATTTTCTTCCAAGCATTCAGACAAGATCAACCATTTCCAGCCATTCTCCAAAATGCCTTTCAAAGATTCATTCGAAACTCCACACATGGCTTTTGCCTTCAAAAAACTGGTGCTGTGTGAAGCTCCAACTGTCAAGTACAGTTCATCTCCTTGGACAGGTGCCAGAACCTGAGGAAATTGCTCCACCAGCACCCTATTGGCTTCAACTTGCTCTTGCCTTTTGGCCACCTTGCTAGACAGGCCAAAAGCCACTGAAGAACTTTCCAAGAGATCCTGTCTGAACCCCTGGCTCATCAATTTTTCACCCTTTGCTAAAACATCATGCCCATTGAGCATTGCTCCACCGCGGTTACTAGGATGCACCAGGAGTTTGCCAGGAGGGACAACTTGGTGGGATGCAAGGCCATGCTTCAACCAAAGCTGGTTCAGCAGCACCATCTTCAAGTTCACTGGCTCATTGGAACCAATGATAGCAGCAGCTTCAGCTTTCACTGGATCACTCAAAGCCATGGCGTGTGGCTGTGAAACTCAAAGCAAAATTGTGGCTGTATAGATGTGGTGCTGTGATGTCTTTCCTGTGCTGCTTACATCTGGACATGTCAAACTGACACCAAGTTATGCTTCCTTCCTGTGGACAAAAAACACATGTAAAGCAAGTATCAAACAAGCTCCAACCATGGACCATGCAGGAAACAGACTCACACAATGTCCATGTGCAAGAAACATGCAGCCATGAAGGCTCAACCATGGCAAACCAACAAAGTGCAAGAAACATGCAGCCATGAAGGCTCAACCATGGCAAACCAACAAAGTGCAAGAAACATGCAGCCATGAAGGCTCAACCATGGCAAACCAACAGACATGCAGCCATCATGGCTCAACTTATTGCAAGCATACAGCAATCCAGACCCAACCTATGCAAACAGCCATCAAGCCTTCAGGCTCAACCTATACAAATTGTCAAGCATTATACTTAGTATTTGAAAAAAACCTTTAGCAAGTTTAGCTACTTTAGCAAAAACTTTAACAACTTTAGCTAAAGCTTTAATTTTCCCTTAATTTTCCTTAGAAACTTTAACATGTTTAAATAATTTACCTAATCCTTTCACACATTTAACAAATTTATAAGAAGTTAAGATATGGTTACATATGACTTAGATGTGATTTACAATATGTTAACAAACATCACTAACTACTTAACAAACACCCAGCACATCTAAGTGGTTTCACTGAGCCGGACAACTTCGACGGCGACTACATGGCCTGCTACGTCTATGGCCACCTTGCGCAGCATTTTGCAAGCGCACAAGCTGACGGCCGAGGCAAGCTGCACCAGATGAACAAGGACTTGAACAGAAGACTGGTGAAAAGCTTGAGGGAGTCTCCCAACATCCTCGAGGTTTACTCGCCACCGAGGGTGACCAAGAAGGCCGAGAAAAATGGTTTCACAGCTGGTGGAGCATTGGACCTTTCAACAGGATGGGACTTTTGCAAACCCTCCCATCAGAAGGCTGCATTAAGACTTGTCAACGAGTTGCAGCCCGTGCTTGTGGTCCTCTCTCCGCCGTGCACTACGTTTTCAGCACTACGAAACCTGAGCAACTTTAAACGTGACCAAGCCACAGTTGCTCGAGAAGAAGCAGAAGGCAGACTTCATGTCCGCTTCAGCGTGCAGTTGGCACACATACAACTTCGAGCTGGCCGAGGATTTCTTTTCGAACATCCGAGGAACGCTACCTCGTGGACGACCACCGAACTGCAACAACTACGACAAGAAGATGGTGTCCACGCAGTTGCGGTGGACCTATGCAGATTTGGTCTGAAGACGTCCAAAGGAGCCCCAGCTTTGAAGCCGACGCTTCTGCTCACCAACATCGAGGAGCTTGCCACAGTCCTACATCGACGATGTGAGGGGTTCCACAAGAGCCATCAACCACTTCTTGCAGGAGAAGCGGCGTTGGCCGCAAAATGTGAAGCCACAGGCTTGCTGCCACTTTTTGAATGTGGCTTTGTTTTCAGTATTCTTTTTGATTTCTAACCTTTTCCATGATTGTAATATCTCCTCATCACTGCAAATATCCAAATCTTCAAAGAGAAGAAATTTGGAAGTGATTTTGTAATCTTCTTCCAAGCTGCTGTTGCCCTGGCTCACTCCAAAAACATTTTTGCAAAGCTGACACAATCTGGAGCCTGTATCTTGTCTGTTCATAAAAGTTTGCCTTTGTGATGCTCCATCCTGCAAATGAAAGCCCAAAGTCCAAAAAAGTCGTAAGCATTGATCACCTCTCTTCAAATGTATTCCAGCCAAGGGTGACCCATGTTCATGCAGGAACATTCTCTCCAACAATTTTCTGACCAATTGTGAAATACCAGCTTCAACATTGGAAACCTCATTGGTTCTGACAGCCATCACAGTGAACCAATTTTTTTCATCAGTCAACACATCAGTACCCAGCTCAAGCCAGCTGAAATAAAGACACCAAGTCTTTCTAGCTGTGCTACTGAGTTGGTTTCCAGGGTGCAACTCATCTGCATACAGAATGCCTTGCCATGGTCTTTGGAAACTGGATGGCCTTTGGTTGTGCTTGTCAAGCAAAAGCTGAAAGAAATATCCTCCTTCAGCAAACATTCCTTGTAGAAATGTAGGCAAGTTGAGCATAGGAATTCTTTTCCTTCCACCAGAGATGGTAATGACTTCCACATCTTCTATCAATTGTCCATAACTGGATAAATCTTGCAAAGTCACATCCACAGCTTGCTTGATGTTCTTTCTGCTATGAAGTTCAGGACGGCCTTCCTTTTGCACCAAATTTAAAACTTGCTCCCAAGCTGAACAACTCAAGTATGGTAACTTTCGCCTAAAGGTCTCTAACCTTCTTAGCTTGGCAGCTCTGGTGTTCTCATCTTCCATCTATCCATGGCTGGACCCAAAGTGTGTTCTGATGTTGGGTTAGCAGTTGTCTAAATTCGAATGTCTCTCATATCTTCTGAAAAAAATGTTTGTTCTGGTACATGTATATACATAAGTCATCAAGCTATCATATTTTGCACCTCTGAACAAAATAAATCATGAACTGGCAGTCCTTGAACCATATGGTCTAGCTGATGCAACCACAATCAAAGTTGGTTCAACATAGTGTGGCAGGCAACCAGCCTTGTGCAGGCTCCAAGTGACAAAAGCAAATAGCCTTGTGGAGGCTCCCTATACCCAGAGCACCCTGAGCTGTCTTGACCTTTTTTTCCCACAGTTTAGATCACAAGTCTTCCAACATGCCTTGCTTGAGCAAAAACACTGTGCAACCTTAGTGGCTACATCACTGCCATGACATGGCAGCCCTGCACAGATTTCAAACAAGCTTCTATTTGTAAATCTTTCCCCTCTTTGCTTGGTCCTTCTTCCAGTTCAAGTAATCTGCTCTTCCATGGAATCTCTGGCCCTTGAAGGTTGGATTACGACATGTTTCACATCCAGCAGCACTTCCTCTGCATCGGAGGCAACCCAATATCTTTTTCTTAGAGGCTGAGCTTTTGCTGGTGGAGCTTCCTTTGTTCTCACCAGAAGCTGGTTTGGCAGCTGGCCTTTTCATAGAGGTTCGGGGAGCTGACATTTTGGCACTTGCAGGTCTCTTCAACAAGATAGCCATGGCTTCTTTCTCATAATCTTCCAACCCTTTTTTTCTTTTGGCTTTGTCTGAGAATCATCCATAGTGACATCATTGCTTTCTTCATTGTTTTTTTCTTGGTTCACATTCTCTTGGTCCAAAGGCTTGCCATTCTTTCCAGGCTCATTGGTCAATGCCAATGCCCTTTTTGGAGGTGAGGATGCCTGGCCCATCTGTTGCTTCTCTTTCATGATGTCCAATGCACTCACACTGGATGGCAATGCTTTCTTTGGACTGGCCTGCTGGTTGAAGAAGGTCAGCTTCATGCCTTGGGCAGAAGAAGCTGAAGGCTCTGCCAAGGGCTTGTGTACCAAATATCTCAAAGCCTGCATGAAGTCAGCAGGGAATCCATGAGCTGAAGAAGATTGCTTCCCTTGCAATCTTGTCCTGGAATTCTTGCTCAAATTCGAGTTTGTGCTTCTGACACATACCTGACTGGCAATTTCTGGGAGTTGAGGCAAAGTTTTGAGACTTGGCTTTTCTTCACCATAGACTTTCCCTAACCAATCTTGTCCAAGGTCTGTGGGCAGCTCTGGGTAAACCTTCAGAGGTGCAACTTTGGATTGAATTTTGCTGGCTTGAAACAAGCTGGTGAATTGCGTAGCCAGCATGTAGGTGTAATCACCATCTGGCATCTGCATCCCATGCCACAACATAGATTGCACTAGCAAGGCCACACAATACCTTTTGGTATCTTCTTTGATGGAAGTCAATCCCAACAACCTCAGCCTTTGTACAATCAAGTGTGGAGCTTTGGTAATCTCTCCAGTCATAAGTTGCTGGATCTCAGCTTCTGTCAGGTAGGCAGGAACATTCACCAAGCTTTGAGGGCTTTTCACTATCTTGCTTCCCTTGGATCCTTCTCCTCCTTCAGCAGCTCTTTCCATGATTTTGTCTTGAAGCCATTGCTTCTTGGTATCTTCCAAAGAACTCTTTGTGATAGCCTCCAGCATGCTGACATAATCAGATGCCAACAAATTGGTGCTGCAGTCAATCTTCTTCAGCAAAGCTACCAACAAACTCTCTTGTAGTGCAGGTGCACTCTTGAAAGCCAGCAACTTCTCAACATCTTGAAGCTCCTTGATAAAGTCTTTGGATGTCCAAGCCATGGCAGAAGTCTAGCAATGGAAGCAATATTGTATTTGTTGTGATTGTTGGTAAATTTGATTTGGTTTGCATGCCTAGATTGATTTTTGCAATAGACATTGTGGAGCAGCCATCTCTGGGATATCTGTTTGCAACCAAAACATATCTGCAGCAACAACATTGAGGAAATCAAGTAGCCAATAATGGCTCACTGCAAGAACATGCCATCATAGGAGCACAACTGACCAAAATCCAAGCTCTATGCAGAACTATGTTTCAATCCAGCATTTGTATGCTCTCAAACTGTTAAGTTGCCAAGCATGCAGCCAATGGCTCATCTACAACTATAATATGTGTACATATGAAATAGGATTGTTTAGTACTCTGGTAATCAGAATAGAATAAAGAAGAAAAATAAAACATATATTTAATTTGTAGATTTGGTACATGCAGTTCCAAGAAAATGTGATAATTGTTATGTGCTCATACAATGACTTACAATCAAGATAGTATATTTATATATGTACAGGAATGAATTATATTTGAATATTTAATAATGTCTTATACTACATCAAAGTTTTGTTTTACTTGTAACTTTATTCATATATATATGCAATATTTAATTTAGTTTACTGAATTAGTAATTGAATTACTAAATATTAAATTCAACATATTGACTTGATATTTATAGTATTTGAAAATGAATTTAGTGAATTGAATTGGTTTTTAATGTATTAAGATCAATTCAACATATTGAATTGGTTTGCAAAATATAGCAACACCAATTCAGTCTACTGAATTGATTTGCAAAATATAGCAAAACCAATTCAGTCTACTGAATTGGTTTGCAAAATATAACAAAACCAATTCAGTGTACTGAATTGGTTTGCAAAATATAGTAAAACCAATTCAGTGTACTGAATTGGTTTGCAAAATATAGCATAACAAATTCAGTGTACTGAATTGAAGTTGTTTATACACAATGTCTAAGTCAACAAACTAAAATGATTAATTTTGAATCCATGCTGAATATATTGCAGTCGAGAATCTCTTCTACATCTGCTCCAAACAGAAAGAACAACTTGTCCACTGGCTCAGTGATGGGGAAGCACTGGAAGAAACAATTCCACTTAGCCATGTGGAATGGAGTGTTCAGCTCCTGCTTGGTCTCTGGGCTCATCTGTTTAAAGGTATCCATGGCTGAGTGGGCGGAACAATTCGTGCTGGAATCTTTTACATGTGATAAAGCATGTCATTGATGCCAACTCTTGTTCATTTACTTGCATCACATTCATTAGTACTCTATCATTCTTGAACCAGGAACTGAAAATATAAAACAAAATGAATGCTAATGCCATCCATGCAAAGTCATGCAAACAAACAACCAAACAATTCAAGTTCAAGCAGCCATTAATGGCTCCATGGCAAACCCAAACCATGTGTTTCCATGATCAATCAGCCTCCAGGGCTCCATGCACTGACAGGTAGGCAGCTTCCTATCATATATTAGTTTGCAAACCTTGCATAATGATTTATATTTTGTTATTCATTGATTTGCTATATTTACAAAGAACCAACATCAATCACTTTTGGTCTTGGCAGGACACATCCACCCAGCACTTTTTTCTCAGGACACTTGGCAACATGCTGTGACATATTTGCAAAAAAGACCTCTGGTGGAATGTTCATCACCAGGATGATTGTCTCAAATCATTTAGTCTGAGCACCAAGGGAACATGCTGTCAAAACCACGGGTCCTCAGAGTATAGATATGGTTGTCAACCAAGGTCCTCATCTGTGGATCCTGCAAGTACCTGAACTGACATCCCCATTGGGTCAAGACAAATTCTATTCACCATGTTTTCTCATTTATTTGTCAAGAAAAAAACTAAAATCATCACCAAGTTGGAAAGCCACCAGCTGCTCTGCCTTCTGCCAATCCTGCTGGATGTAAGCCTCAGGGATACAGCTTGAAGGTTTGCAAAATACATTACACACAAGCACAACATGAACAACACATGCAGCCCACAGGGCTCAACATGCACCATGAATGCAGCTGGGCAACTGCCAGCAAAGGAACCATGTAGTTCTTCCATCCAGTGGGGGCTTTGGCTCCAGACTGACCTGCAATCCACTGGGCAGAGGGTGAAGACTTTCCCTTGCCCTGCTCACCTTCCTCAGCAGGCTTACCTTTGCCATAAGGCCCAAGATCTGGCACTCTTGGAGGAGGAGGAGGTTGCAATAATGGCATGCCCTTACCTTCAGCACAAACAGAAGATGGTGCAGGCTCCAGCAAGTCCTGGCCATGCTTCTTCTCAAGGTGTTGCAGTTCCAACTGCAGTTGATCAGCCTGCATCTTCAACTTTTCATTCTCCTGCTTCAAGTTTGTGTTCTCCACCTTGAGCTCCTGGTTCTGTCGCAGCACAGCTTCATACCTTTGCAGGAGTGAGTAAGTCATCTGGGGGACAAAGACACTAGCTCCAGTCAGGATCCAATTGGCTGCTGTCTGGCTCTGGTGCGGTACGAAGATGTCACCAGAGGGAGACATGTTGACATCTGCAATCCTTGCCAAGCACCTCAGATTGCTCCAGCTGCCACCATCCTCCACATAGTGATCGCTCACATACCAGCAGGGTTGCTTGGGCCCATGCTTGGTGTACCACATCCAAAGGTCCTGGTCCACCTTCTTCAAGGGATAGGTCCCATTGACCATGAAGTCTGCCAACTTCCAGGTCCCAGTGAGCACTTTCGAGATGCTCCTTGGTTTGTGCAGAAGTGAGACTGCTGAGGATACTACCTATCATTATTGTCAACCCAACCTACTTACAATCAAGCAGCTTACAACAAGATCATGAAATCAAACAGCCCTGAGGCTCCATGCCACCAAACATGAATTGCAAGCATAAACCATAGACAACCTAATGAGCAGCCTTACAAGGCTCAAGCCTATCCATGCAATTAAACTGCCAACTGTTCCATATTTTAGCATATATTGAACTTCATATTCCACACAGCCACAGACAATTAGCATCTTTTTTGACCCAGCCATTGCCCAAGACATTCTAGTCAGAGATAGGCTTGACAAACTTACCACTCTTGTTGTAAGATCTCTTTGCACCTTCTGCACATGTGGAGCAGTCAGCTTCCAAATATTCCAAACATTTCTGCACATTGGAAGCTTCTAGAAGGATAGCCACATCAGCATGCTTGCTGGAAGGCCACATGGCAGTCAAACTTCCAAAGTCATCTGGCAAAGTCACCACAACAGATGCCTCTGATAAGTTCCCACATTCTTTCTTCTGCTTCTTCTTTGGTCTCTGCTCTTCACTTCCAAACAATGACTCAGCACCTTCTTCTTGGCCTTCAGCCATGGTCTCCTTCTCCAAGCTTTGGGCATGTACCAAGGACACCAAATTCATGAGCCTTGGTCCTGCTGACAAGGACAAATTCTTTTTCTTGCAATCAGGACACACCAGCTTGGTTATGCTGTGGTGAGAAGGTCGAAGCTTCAGAAAGGTCTGGTTTTCAGCATTGGTCAGCAGCAAATCTTCAGGGATCACCACATTGATGCCTTTCCATTGGATGGCTGTCAGCTGCTTGATTTCCAAGGCCATGGGCAAGGAGAGGAACAGCTAAAACCTTTGGGGCAAATTTGAGAAGCCACATTGTTTCCAAGTGCAACATACAATGACAACATGGCAATGTACAAAGGACACTTACACAAAAGCAACATCAAACAGCCTTCCAAGGCTCTCACACACACAGAGATTCCAATTCATTTGTGCTGATGTTGTTTTCTCATCTTCCTCTGTCCTTGCAATTGGTGAAACTGTGAAACATCATCTCTTGGCTTTTTTGCCACTGCTACTTTTGGCAGCTGCTCCAGCAGTGGCACCTGACTCTCCTTCCTTCTTTTTTCTTTTCTTGGCCAACATCTCTGACTCACACAACAGCAAATCTCCTGGCTCCAAATCTTTGGTATTCACATAGCAAGGCAGCTCCAAGCTGCCACATTGTTTCTTTTCCAATTGCATGTTGACCAACTCCTCATCCATGGTGGGCTTCACATACCAAAATGGTACAAGTACAGTTTTGTCATCCACCTTGTCAAATTCAGAGATCATCTTGTGGGCATTCACTCCAAATTTTCCCACCATGACTTTCACCTTGTCTTTGTCCTGGTCCTTGACATGGAACAAGGATCCATAAGGTTTGAGAACCAAAGATCCAGCAGCATTTTAAATGCTGCAGGGCACAGACTCCCACTGGATTTGCCACAAAGCCAATTGCTTTGGCATTTACAGGGCCAGTCATGAAAGCCTTGTGCAATTGCACCTGGGTTGAATGCAATTGGATGCTTTCTTGGATACCAGGGTGCTTGTACACCAGCTGCTTTTCCGCAATGTCATCAGCCAATAGAATTTGCATAGTCTTCTTGCTTTTTCTCCAATCTTTCAATTGATCTCCCAAAGGCACCACCAAGGTATCAGCAGCCCCAACCAGTGGTACATGTTCAAACCTCAGTGGACCAAGGGCTTGCGCATGTTGTGGAAAAGTAAGCACCACCCCCAAAAAGCAAACTTTCACCCCAAAAATATCCAAGGAACTTAGCTCCAGCAAGGGTCACTTCCATGAGCTGATAAATGGTGCTGCCCACCTTGGGATTCTGGTAATTGCTCCCAATCTCCAGATGTTGGTTCTGCAGCAATGCCACTGCAACAGGATCAGGCTGCAACAAGTCTTGGAAAGCTTCCTGGCTTCCTGCTGCACCAGGACTTGGTGCATCACCACTGTCCTGACTGGAGATGTCAGGAGGGCAAAGCATTTCAGAAGCAAATTGGTCTCTGATGTCTTCCAAAGATTTCCAGGTCTTGCTCTCCCTGCCCATTTTTTGTTTCTGGCAAATGAAAAGCACCACTCTGATACAAAGACGACCAAAAACATGCAGCCTCTTCAGCTCTTCCAAGTGTTTGGCCTTTTCCACTAAAGACCAACTGTTTGCTAGCAATTTCTCTGCATCTTGGAGCTCAGCTTTGCATTTTGTTTTCAAGCGATCAAAATCACTCTTCACCAACAGCTTGCTGATCTTGTCCACAATCTTGCTGGATGTCAACTGAGCAGCAAGCACAGCCACCCTGAAGCATGGCAATAAATTGCCACTGACCTTGAAGTCATAGTGAGTCAACAGCTTCATGAACTCTTCACCCAGCAAAGCGCTTTCTCCAAATTGTTTGCTAAAAGCAACCAGAAAGGTTGCCAAGGGCATCTGCTCTCCCCCAGTGTACAATTTAGCAAAGTGTGCTATTTCATCCAAATAGTCTTTGCATTGAGGCTCACCCATGGCAGTCTGGGCCACAGCAGCTTCCAATGTCTTTCCCAACTGGATATATTTACTGATGGTGGCCAAGCATTCCAACTCAGTGGCAGCCACTTGTGCACTGTTGCTGCTGTTCAATGCAGCAGAGTACAGCAAGGGCAGTGTAGGGAAATTTTCTTCCAAGCATTCAGACAAGATCAACCATTTCCAGCCATTCTCCAAAATGCCTTTCAAAGATTCATTCGAAACTCCACACATGGCTTTTGCCTTCAAAAAACTGGTGCTGTGTGAAGCTCCAACTGTCAAGTACAGTTCATCTCCTTGGACAGGTGCCAGAACCTGAGGAAATTGCTCCACCAGCACCCTATTGGCTTCAACTTGCTCTTGCCTTTTGGCCACCTTGCTAGACAGGCCAAAAGCCACTGAAGAACTTTCCAAGAGATCCTGTCTGAACCCCTGGCTCATCAATTTTTCACCCTTTGCTAAAACATCATGCCCATTGAGCATTGCTCCACCGCGGTTACTAGGATGCACCAGGAGTTTGCCAGGAGGGACAACTTGGTGGGATGCAAGGCCATGCTTCAACCAAAGCTGGTTCAGCAGCACCATCTTCAAGTTCACTGGCTCATTGGAACCAATGATAGCAGCAGCTTCAGCTTTCACTGGATCACTCAAAGCCATGGCGTGTGGCTGTGAAACTCAAAGCAAAATTGTGGCTGTATAGATGTGGTGCTGTGATGTCTTTCCTGTGCTGCTTACATCTGGACATGTCAAATTGACACCAAGTTATGTTTCCTTCCTGTGGACAAAAAACACATGTAAAGCAAGTATCAAACAAGCTCCAACCATGGACCATGCAGGAAACAGACTCACACAATGTCCATGTGCAAGAAACATGCAGCCATGAAGGCTCAACCATGGCAAACCAACAAAGTGCAAGAAACATGCAGCCATGAAGGCTCAACCATGGCAAACCAACAAAGTGCAAGAAACATGCAGCCATGAAGGCTCAACCATGGCAAACCAACAGACATGCAGCCATCATGGCTCAACTTATTGCAAGCATACAGCAATCCAGACCCAACCTATGCAAACAGCCATCAAGCCTTCAGGCTCAACCTATACAAATTGTCAAGCATTATACTTAGTATTTGAAAAAAAAACCTTTAGCAAGTTTAGCTACTTTAGCAAAAACTTTAACAACTTTAGCTAAAGCTTTAATTTTCCCTTAATTTTCCTTAGAAACTTTAACATGTTTAAATAATTTACCTAATCCTTTCACACATTTAACAAATTTATAAGAAGTTAAGATATGGTTACATATGACTTAGATGTGATTTACAATATGTTAACAAACATCACTAACTACTTAACAAACACCCAGCACATCTAAGTGGTTTCACTGAGCCGGACAACTTCGACGGCGACTACATGGCCTGCTACGTCTATGGCCACCTTGCGCAGCATTTTGCAAGCGCACAAGCTGACGGCCGAGGCAAGCTGCACCAGATGAACAAGGACTTGAACAGAAGACTGGTGAAAAGCTTGAGGGAGTCTCCCAACATCCTCGAGGTTTACTCGCCACCGAGGGTGACCAAGAAGGCCGAGAAAAATGGTTTCACAGCTGGTGGAGCATTGGACCTTTCAACAGGATGGGACTTTTGCAAACCCTCCCATCAGAAGGCTGCATTAAGACTTGTCAACGAGTTGCAGCCCGTGCTTGTGGTCCTCTCTCCGCCGTGCACTACGTTTTCAGCACTACGAAACCTGAGCAACTTTAAACGTGACCAAGCCACAGTTGCTCGAGAAGAAGCAGAAGGCAGACTTCATGTCCGCTTCAGCGTGCAGTTGGCACGCATACAACTTCGAGCTGGCCGAGGATTTCTTTTCGAACATCCGAGGAACGCTACCTCGTGGACGACCACCGAACTGCAACAACTACGACAAGAAGATGGTGTCCACGCAGTTGCGGTGGACCTATGCAGATTTGGTCTGAAGACGTCCAAAGGAGCCCCAGCTTTGAAGCCGACGCTTCTGCTCACCAACATCGAGGAGCTTGCCACAGTCCTACATCGACGATGTGAGGGGTTCCACAAGAGCCATCAACCACTTCTTGCAGGAGAAGCGGCGTTGGCCGCAAAATACACACCAGCCTTCGTGGATGCGATCCTTCGTGGACTTCGCCAACATGTTCAATCTTGGGTGAAGGCTCACAACTCCAGTTCCGACTACTGGGAGGTGAAGGACGAGGAGGTCATTCGACATCATCGAGTTCCACGAAGGGCCCTTTTTTCTCCTACGGGTGTTGCTGGCTGCCCACTGGAACTTAGCAAGCTCTCATCCAGTCGCACTACAGTCATGAAGTTCGACAAGGGCCCAGTGCAGACCTTCAACGACAATTGGCGAACCACTGCGTTGCCCCGTCAAACTATGACGACTTTGTGGACAGGAACCACAACTTTTCCTGTTCAAGATCCAATTCTACTCCCACACGATTGGCAAGAAGCTGCAAACTTCATCGTTCGAGCAGCTGCACATCCCATTCACTCCTACATCACCGAGGAGACAGCCGTGCAAATGGAATGGACAACAGCGTTTCCATCCCACAGAATTTTGGGAGGCGCGCCTTCTACGTCTTCAAGCACTGCTGGACCCCCCCAGTTCAACCGTTTTGCTGGGACGGAGGGTGATGACCTTGACGTCAACATGCTGGACGACTTGGGAGTGAATGCACCAGATGAGACATCAGAAAGCAAGGCAAAACATGCCCTGAGAGCCTTGGACCTGAGCAAGCCTGCGACGGACAACATCCTTCACCCAGAGATGCGCAGGGAGCTCTTCAAGATCCATCGCAATTTGGGACATCCTTCACTACAAGTGTTTGTGAGAGCCCTGAAGCACGCCGGTGTCAAGAACGAGGTGTTGCAGTGGACCAAGAATCATTTCAAGTGCCCACTTTGTGAAAGGAAACAACAACCCTCTTCGCACCGCCCTGGGAAACTTCAGCGCGCCATGAACTTCAACGAGGTGGTTGGCGTGGACTTAATCCAGATCAACGTGCCGGAGATCGGAGACTATTGGATGCTGAACTGCTTGTGTTGGGGAACCGACATGCAGATCGTGGAGATCGTCAAGGACAAGCAGGCCAGCACCGTCTTGGAGACCTTCTGCCGTGCCTGGATCGCCCACTATGGCCCACCTGCATTGGTCGTTGCAGACCAGGGAAGAGAGTTCATTGGCCACCAGTTCACCGACTACCTGGGACATATGGGAGTGCCTGTGCACTTCATCAACGCACGGAGTCCTTGGGAGAACGGGCGCACCGAGCGCGCCGGTGGCATCTTCAAAACGAGACTTGAAGGAGCTCTACATGAAGTTGGTGCCACCACTGAAGAGGAGCTGAAGCTGACCATCCAGGAGGTTGTCACCGCGCACAACCGCTTCTACAACAGGACGGGCTTCACACCCTACCAACGAGCCTTTGGCACCTTGCCGAGGATGCCCGCTTCACTTCTTTCCGACGACCGCATCGACAAGCAGCTGATGCTGGAAGGAGCTGGAGACTCTATGAAGCGCGCATGGGCCATCCGAGAAGCTGCATCCAAAGCATGGCTTCGCTGGCAAGATGATGAATCAGTCCGTAGAGCCGTGTCAACAAGGACAAGGACTTCGGACACCAAAGACTTCAAGGTTGGGGAGTTAGTCTACGTTTGGAGGAATGTTCCTGGATTCAAGGGATGGACCGGTCCAGGTTCAATTGTGGCCTTGAAGGGAGAAACCGCCTGGGTTTCCATGAGAGGCTTCCTCATGAAGGTCGCGATTGCGCAGACCCGGAAAGCCACTTCGGAGGAAAGCCTTGGAGCAGAGCTTGTTCGACATCTGTCTGAACAAATGCTGGAAGACCTGGAGTCCAATGCGGTGAAGTACTACAGAGATGTGGAAGGAGAAGGTCCTCCAGACGATGGCAGCGAAGGCGGCGGATACTCACCTTCTCTGGGTCCAGAGGAGGAAGAGCCGCTACCCGGTGGAGATTCACCTCTTGAGGCAGAACCATCGCCCTTAGCTCCCATCGCTGAGGAACCAGATGCTCCTATGGATGAAGTTCCACCAGATCAAGTTCAACCAGCCGCTGATGATGGACGTTCAGAGATCAGCACAGCAGAGCCTTCGATGGGTCATGCTCCATCAGATGGCACCTCACAGCCCTTCAGCCGCATGGGTACGGAGAACACCCTTCCGGACCGACGCTTGAGTGGAGTCCGAGTTGATGAAGGCCGTGGAGGAACGCTTGGTTTTGGTCCCATCCGAGAAGGACCACCTACATCCTCTACTGCAATGCCCTATCCAAGCCCTCCTCAAGGAGTACCTTCCTGGCCGAGACCTTCACACAGCTTGTACTTCGAAGTGTCTACAGAGCCATCTACCCAGACACCACGCTGGACTTTGGATCGACCCACTGGCAAATATACTATGAACCCTCCAGACACGTCCAAATTCAACGCCAAGGAATCTGAAGCCGTGTACAATGAGAAGGACCAGTGCATGTACCTCACCAAGTCCAAGGCAAAGACATCACCTGGCCAAGTCGACTTTCGACACTTGCCGGAGAAGTACAAGAACATCTTCCGAAAGTCTCGTGCCAAAGAAGTTGCCTCATTGCTGAACTCGGGAGCCATCAAGATCCTGAGTGTCGAGGAGTCCCGGAAGTTTGCCAAGGAACACCCTGACCATGTGCTCACCAGCCGCTATGTGGACCGCTGGAAGCCCACGGATGCATTTGGAGTCCTGCCGGAGGAGTACGAGCAACCCGACTTCCTCCCGGAGAACCACAGTGGCCTGGCACCGAAATCTCGTTGGTGTGTGGTTGGCTGGAAGGACCCGCACATTCACCAGATCGAGCGTGCCGCGCCTACACCTTTGACTTCATCTATGTATCTGGCTTTGCAACTGGCAGCAAGTCGCAAATGGGTGGCCTTTGGAAAGGATGCCAAGACAGCCTTTTTACAGTCTCGACCAACTACAAGAGTGCAGAAGCTAGCCTGCAAGATGCCAGCCGACGAAGCCTTCGAAGGGTACAGTCCTGAACAACTGATCCTTCTGCTCACGGAAGTTTACGGCTTGGTATCAGGCCCTGCTTGGTGGAGAAGATCCCTACTCGAGCTTTTGGTCAAGGAGCTCAAGTACCGAGTGTGCGTCTACGACAGGTGCATTCTGACCTTGGATGGGCCCCTTGATCCGAAGAACCCCGATGCTCCAGTCAAAACCAGAGGATTCATCGTCCTGGAGGTCGACGACCTGTTGGAAGCGGGCGATGAGGAGCACCGGAAGAAGATGGAGTGGCTCGAGAAGAGGCTGAAGTTTGGGAAGATCGTCAACTTGCAGGAGACCGAGAATGGCGGTGGAAGTGGATATGCTGGAAGGCGAATCAAGCAATTGCCTGATTTCAGCTTCACCTATAGCATGGACGACTACGTGGCCAACCGACTCCACGCCATCAAGGTCCACCGCAAAGTCTTGAAGAAGGATGCCGCCAACATCAAGCTCAACGAGGACGAGATCTCTCAGCTCAGGGGAACCATAGCAGCCATCAACTGGTCAGCACGTGAAGGACGCCCTGACGGCTCCGCAAGTGCTTCGATTTTATCTGGATGCTTCCCCGAGCCCACTATGAAGAACCTCTTCGAGTGCAACCAGGTCGTGGAGCTTCTAAAGAGCCGCAAGGCGACCATTCGAATCTTTTCCATTGCAGAGGACCAGATCCGGCACCTGCTCATCGCGGACTCTTCCTTCGATCCGACTGGGAAAATAACAAAGCCCCAGCATGGATGGATCCAGGGTATCACCACGCCGCAACTTAACCGTGGTGAGAAAGCCCCTGTGAGTCTGATCGCATGGCGATCGAAGAAGCTGCGCCGTAAGGCGGGAAGCACCACGCTCTGTGAGAGCATTTCGCTTTCAACAGCGTTGGCAGCGATGGAGAAGCAAGTTGCCACCTTCCAGAGTTTCCAGTTTTCGAGGTTCGACCCGAAGAGCATCACCAACGACATCGAGATCGAAATGGGTCTTCGTGGACCACCTACTGTGATCGCCTCCGAGGATCCGAAGTTTGTGGACCCGCTGACGGTGGCCCTGATCGATGCTAAGAGTGTCTTCGACTCGACCTCGAGCCCAGAACGCCAATTTCAGGGAGAAGATGACCGAGCAGCCTTGGAGTCAGCGATCATCCAAGAAAGCCTCGCGAAGTTGAAGTCCCGGCTCAGATGGATTCCACACAACTTCAACCCGGCCGACTCTTTGACGAAGCTTCCGCAGCAAGCCCACATGCAGCCGCTGTACGACCTCCTGGAGAAGCAGAATATGACGATTCAGAAGGAGGAAGACGAGCTAGCTGCGGGACGTCAAGGAGACCGTAGGTTGAAGTCGCATTGAATCAGACCCCCTTTGACAGCAGTGACCAAGTCATTGCTGCAGAATTTTGGGAGGCTGACAATGTGACATAGGGTCGTTGGGTGTCACCATCTCTGCCCGGGAGGCCTTGAGCTGTGGCTCGAGAGAAATAGGGCGCTGCGTTTTGCCCCTAGGACTCACCACTGAAACAGATTCTATATATATATTATTCATATGATATGCGTATACTATGTATATGGATGTATATACTGCAAGTCCAATTAACCCAGGAAAGAGAAGGCACAGCACCGCCTATCACCCAACGAATGCGCTCTAGGCTTGGGCCTCTTACCAGCTGATGTTGGAAAATGGCATTCAGCCAGATGACACATGGCAGGGGATGCTGGGGGTGCAGGCGCCATGGAACGCCATGGAATTGGAATATCCCTAGGTTAAAAAAACAGTTCTAGAAGGTTCCAGATATTTTAAAATTCCAAAAGTTCAACTGTATGGATTGCATATCAATGGAATCCCTTTCCTGCCATCTTGAATAGCGTGGTGGAATTTCTGTACACGCCTGGAGGAATCCCATATCACTAAGCAAGGGAAAGTCCTGTTGCCTCCGGACATCGAGATTGACAATTGCCATGTTTGATTACTACAAGGTGGTGCCCCAGTTCGTTTGCTGAGTTGGTGAGCATAAGTCCTATGGTACTATGGTCCTAGGCGTTATGGAGGTTATATCGAACTAGTTAATGGGGATTATAAACCAACTTGTAACTGGGGGTACCACCTTGTACCAGGTGACGTGTTCCAAAACTGATTATGGTTCAATCACAGACCAAACGAAACACCATCGGATTTAGATACCACAGATACCATGCGCTTAGCACATGCGTTTGTCTGAAAATGGGGCACTGCAAAAATCTCATGGTTGACTAATCGGCGGCCCGACTGTTTCTTGCTGATAAATCCCCGAGGCCCCTGGAAAACCGGAAAATCCAAAACACATCTTATCTTTGAAATTGCTTGATTCTGCGCACACATTTGGCCCAGGATGCGGACTAGACGTATTTAACAATACAATAATATAAACATATTATATATTGTATTATATATATATATATATACAACCTGACCATATGCGATATTTGCATAGCACTGGCACGAAAATCTTCAACCCCAACAATGCATCCGCGAGAAACGGGACCCGATTGTCCTGTTTTGACCAGCCTGGCTGATCCTCGGTTCTCGGCACAAGGACACGACCATCTCTACCATGATCTCCGGAATGGTGCAGGGACATCAGTGGGACAAGGTCGATGAAACATTTGGGGCGGAGGAGTTCATGCAGCGAGTCGGGGCGGTGCTCACTGCGATCGAGTAAATGTTCTCCCTATATATATATATATATGTATATATATATATATATGGAATGGTGGTTAGTAGGGGTAACTACCCTCTGGTAATTTGTCACATAGCTATTGAAAATGGCCCTAATCGAAATAGTTGATTTACCGAACTTTTCCAGATGGGTGGATCTTTCCATCGTTTTTTGGGACTGTTTACCATGTCGGGTAGCCCAAAAATAGGATCCTTGAAAATGACGTCAGTGAATCCTTAGAATCTTTCTCAGTGACTGGCTGATTTACATGGGGGTTTGCTGCTTTTCACCCTGGGCTTTTGCTGCTTTTAGGACAACCATAAATTGTGATAAATTGTGTCTCTTTGTGTGTGCTGAACACTGCTACAGTCCCTCTTTTTGGAGTCATCGATATTCCCAATGATGCTTGCTGATTCCATGAGATTTGCCGGTGAAATTCCCATCTTTGCAGATCAAACCCAATTCTTGTTGGCAAGCATGCCATTTCTGTTGCGGGTTCAATGCATTTTTTCTCCAAAATTTTGAGCTTTCATTTGGGCCAAATGTCATCTAAATCTGAATTTTCATGTGTCTTTCAATATTTTCAGACTTGAATTGCATTGTTCATTGGTCAAACTCTATCCGAGTCCAATCGTTCTCCAAACTCTCAATTTTTACTACTTACATCTACTTACTCTACTTTCACATCGTTGTTCTTCGTGATTCTTACAATTTGTAGACTTATAGATGATGTTCCTATCAAAACTTCCATGTATAAGGGATTTTCCTACAATTTTCCTATCATGTTCCCATATTTTCCCAAATTTCCCGTAGTTTCCCCGCGTTTCGGAGGATCTCCATTGCGCCCTGGGCCGGCCAGGTGTTGCCGCTGGCGCCCTTGGCCTCCCTAGCCACCCTGCGCCTGGCGGCCAACAAAGCGCCGGAGCAAGAGATGGGGCAACTGAAGGCGGTCGCTGATGGAAACAGAGGCTGTTTTATAATATCTGGTTAAACCAGTTTCATGAAATTATAATCTGTTATTACCATTACTATTATAAACCATTCCCAAATGTCATAATATCTTATTATAACCTAAGACGGATCCGGATCCGGTGCTGCTATATATGGTTTGCCATGGATCCCATCAATATACCCCCTTTATGTTAGTATATATACCAGCACCATGGATCCTATAACGAACATTAGGGTTAACAACTATAAATGGCTGGTATGTTTACCATTCCCAAATGGGTAGTTTGTCCCAAATCTGGTTAAAACAATAACAAACTACCCATTTGGGAATGGTTTATACCAGCCATTTATGGTGATTTAGGAGATGGTTTTATAATTAATCAAACATCACTGATATATGGGATTATATGGGATTGTATGGGATTATATGGGATTATATGGGATTATATGGGATTATATAATTAGTCAATCACTGGTTGGTGGTTTGGAACATGTTTTATTTTTCCATCTATTGGGAATAATCACAACCAGATTAATTGATCATCACTGATCTAATAAAGCTTATAATGTTTATGATTAATGTCAAGTGAGGATTAATAATGCCCTCCCGATTAATCAACAGCAACTGCCCCAAAAAAAAATGTAATGGAAAAACAGGTGGTCCCCCCAGATTAATAAATTTTTTGGCCTACCCCCGATTAATCAACAACCACTTCGGAAATCCATTTTTTTATCCAACATTTTTTATGTCCAATTCTATTTATTTCCAATTGTTTTTTACCTTTTTTTTAATCATCATTGTTATACTTCAGGTTTAAGTTGATCATTGAAAATTTCAAAAAACAACTATTCCCCAAATGATCGATTTCTAATTAAAATATGTATAAAAAACATCAGTTTGGATAGCTCCCAAAGGGTACCCCCCATGAGCCCATGTCCCCCAGTAATAATAACCATGGTTTGCCCCTGATTAATCAACCACCTTTCTGATCCATGAAATTTTAACAAATCCAATGGAATTCTATTAAGATCTAATTGACGTAAGCCATATCCAAAGTTTTATGGTTCAGAGTTGCTTATTATTAAGGGGCGATCAAGAAAACCAGTCAGAAGGTACCTCCCTACCTTCTGGGGGGGGGGTTATTAATCCGGTGTTGGCATTATATGGTATAATGGTAATAATGATGTTTATAAGAGGTTGGTTTATAATTAATTAATCATCACTGATATGTGGGATGATTTTATGGGATGATGCATAATAAGTTTCCTATTTTATCATCCCAGATAATCCCATTATCATTGATTATAATTATCATAAGGATTTTCCAGGGTATGATTCAATGGGAGTATATATAATAATAATAACAACAACAACAACAATAATAATGTTTTTTCATTGGGGGTGAATGTAAACCAAACATACAACGTGGGACTCCCAAACCTTATGTTTGTTGGTTTATAAACCCCCTGAACTATAGTTATACCTACCAGAAACCATACTTAATCTAGTTATAAGCCAACTTAGCTATCTAGGGGGTCCCACCTTGTAGTAATAAAGCACTTGATTTGATTTGGGGTATATATATAATATTTGTGTGATTTGGGATTGAGAAGTGTTGCCTTTCCACCTGATATATGGATGTTACTGGGTGTTAATCTTAATTACTGGCGCTAAACGTAGAGAATGGGCGAATGATCCATAATAACTATTAACAATCACCCCATTTCCCCATTCCCTACAAAGCACCAGTAAGTAATGTCAACCCCGGATAAATAAAGCCCGAGGGTTCCTAATATTATGCAATATGATATAGTTCCCGACTTTAACGGTACCTTTCCAAGTAGTAAACTCGGGGTTTATTAATCTGGAGTTGATATGACTATAAATGATACTATTAGAAAAAAGAAAAACATTTATAGCATTTTGGTCTTTAGCACTATTTTGTTTTGAGATGTTACTTTTTGGGATTTCAGCATCATTACCCTGGTTGGTTGCGTAATAGGCTTAGGGTTTTTGTTCCAATCCTACCTGGTGAAAAATGCGAATTATGACAACCTATATTTACCTTCCAATCTAACATGTAATGTCTATGTGGAATCCATTTTTCGCCTTCGGACTCGATCTACAAGGAAATGATCGATTTGATTTAGATGATGGGTAAATACCATTCTGAGATGGGTATTAATGAGATAATTTATTTATGATGATGGGTAATAATCACCTGTTGTACGAGTATCAATCATATTCAATTTATTGAAATGGGTGATTCACCATTTCCAATATGATACAATCTAAGATGGTAGGCAAAAAAATAGTTTTTACCATACGTAATGTTAGTAGTTATATATACACTAGCAATGTAGTAATTCGCGAATTAGGATCTGTGCAAAACTTTGACCCTCAGTGAGGCTCATGGGTTCATGCAAGAAACCGGGGGCCAAAATACCCGCCAATTAAACCTGTTTATGGATTCAACCTGTTTTTGGATTGGTTTAACACGTCTAGTGAGGTCCATGATAATGGATTCAAATTGAATTTAACCTGTTTAACCAACCAATTGGTGGCTGCACTAAGCGGAAATGGTTGTATTTTAGGTGAAATTGGGGATGTCACCAGCGCTCCAGTCTTCGGTTTTTGAGATTCCTGTTTTTTTTTGAGAGTTTTGGTTACGGCTGAGTTTGTTTGTGGGCAAGAGATTATTGATAGGGTCTTCGCTACGATCTTTCAGAAATGCCATATTCTCCGTGTACGATGATCTTCCCTTAAGGAAGGCATTGGTCATTCACATGGTGCCCAATCAACCCCTTCTGAAAACTGGAATGGAATCCCTAAAAATTGGACTAAAAGCCCGTTTTACCACCAAAAAGTACCATCTCTCAGAATTCCATGTGAAAGATTTGATGGAGGTAACTGGTTTGAGGGGGCTCTCCCACTGCGAGGCACTGATGAAGAAAGCTTCGCAGAAAGGAGCTTAGTGGCCAAAAAGATTCTCCGTGACAGGAAGCCACATATAGCAGAAAGATTGGATTTCATGGTTTACCCCCCAGCAAGCCTTGTTTAGTACTGGATCTGGCCTGAAAAAGTGCTGGGAGCATGGGATGAAAAAGTGGGCTGGACCTTTGGATATCTTTGCTGAAAGGTGTCATGGCCATGTTAGAAGATGATCTGGTTGGTGGTTTGGAACATTTGTTATTTTTCCATATATTGGGAATTTCATAATCCCAACTGACGTTCACTCCATCACTTTTCAGAGGGGTAGGTCTACCACCAACCAGATAGATCAACCATAGATTAACCATAAATTTACCCATGTTACAATCTTCGTTTTTGTGGGGAAGTGTTGTGATTGTGGCACATAAAAAAACTGTAGGACTTGCTTAGGATAGTCCTTAGCCACCCACAAGTTGGTCGATGTTGAAAAAAATGGTAACCTGGAAAATATGGGTAAAACATCATCTGTATTCATCTACAAGGTGGCGCCCCCAAGATAGCTAAGTTGGTTTATAACTCTAATAACTAGGACTTATGGTAGATCTATAGTTAATGGGATTATAAACCAGCTTATAACTTGGGGGGCACCACCTTGTATACTTCTAGTGAGAAACTCTCCATACTCCAAAGCCGAACATATTCCAGGCGAAAATAGCTGGAAAATGTTGATACTTGCACTGACCGGGCTGTAATGATGGAATGCAATTCCATCATGGTAAGTGGTTGCCTGCTCTTTTGAGTATGGCTACGACCCTCACCAAAGCACCGTGAATTTCCTACACATACTGGCTAAGGCCCACATACTGCACAAAAACACATCGAGGAGTACATTGCTTGTTTTTTCTCCTGTCTTTTCCCCAAAATGCTCTGGAATGCGATTGTATGGGCTTTTTTGACCCTTCTCAGGTGAAAACTCCACCTTCCCCATATTCCAACGGAATCAGATTCCAGGGGGGAACAGCACAACAGAAGAGTCCGGGGAGGAAAGCTGACCCTGGGTTGGTATACGATAGCACGATAGCAATTGTGACATGCGATTGATGCCCTGGAGTATCTGGAGTGCGAAGGGACCCGAGTATGAGGTGCTAAATGTGTAGCTCAAGTAATTACTGCTTAGAAGTTGTAGTGTGTAGCAACCGTCAGTCCTACCTCTCTGGCATACGATGAAAGAGCAGCATGCGGCGCATGCGGCGCATTGTTTTTATTGCGGAAGTCATTTCTAGAATACTATCTTGGAAAATCCGGGAAACTGGAAACTGTTTTTGGTGGTTTGGAACATGACTTTTCTTTTTCCTTCTATTATATATATTATATATATATATATTGGGAATGTCATCATCCCAACTGACTTTCATATTTTTCAGAGGGGTAGGTCAACCACCAACCAGATGTGTTCTATCTTCTTTGGGGGGTGGTACACTAATGAATCAACTAGTCAACCTATACCAGTGAGAAATCGATAAACTGACATCAACTAAGCAGCCCGGCTGACCAACGGATGTCAACTCCTCCGCTGCTGGCAAGACATCACGAGTGTGTCATGATGACTGGGACCTGCCGGTCAGGCCAAGTCAAGCAATGTCAAGCATATCATGGCAACATGTCATCAATTTCATTGAAGCATATTGAAACTATGGTGACCTATACCTATACCCATTTATACCCATAGATATATCATGTATTATCCTTGAGCACCCAAATTGAATATGAAGGGGCTATTGAATAAGCAAGTCCTTTGGCAGACCTAGGCTGAAAAGGGTGTGGTATGGCTTGGTGCTATCATCAATCTTTGTCAGAAAGGAATCTTTGCCGTGTTTGGTTTTCATCCAATCAAAAGTATGAATGTATAGAAACAAGCTGTCTCATACGACTTACCATTGCTTCTCATGTCATCACAATTCAGGAGGATTACTCAGATTGCACCCGAGTCTGCCATGATTTTGTTTGGTGTTTGGGTTTCACTTCGCTTCCAAAACGATCCCTTGGATTTGACAACTCACCATCCCGTCATCGCCGAAACGGACGCGCTGCCATGCACCTCTCCATGCAGCGGTTGGTGTTGCAGGCGCAAAGCCCAAGGAAGCCTGGTTTGATTAACTTAGGGCTTGAAAATGGTTGGAAAGATGTTTTTCAACCACTGAACAGCTTGCAACACGTAAGTAGTTCAATGATAGTTGATCCCAAGTGGGATGAATGTTCAATTGATGCAGACGGTGTCAAGCATCCATGGCCCATGGAAAGCCTCGATTCCACGTAGCCTGTCAGGCTGTTTTGTTGAGGTGTGGGGCCCCAGGGATTTCAGGGACAGCCAAACTGGGAATATCGCATTGACATGTTCCAAGGTCGAAACTTCGGTCAATGACCCATCTTAAGGGATGGGCAGTATTTTATTCATAGGGGGTTATATGTAATTACCTACTTATGAGTTTTTAAGATACCCCAGAGAAAGCAGGTTTTGAGCATGGTACATATGGCTTGCTGAAAATCCCTGATCAAGATATCCATTTCTAAGCGGTTGTACAAGATCAGGGATTAGTTTGCCCTGTTTGATTGGATGATGGCAGTTTGAGCTTGCTTGGGTTTGCCTGAAAATAGGGTTAAGTTAAGCATCACTTTCGTTCCCTATTGAAACTGCGATTTTATGGGTATACCAGACACACCCGCTTGTTTTCAAACCAAAGATGTAGACTCGACAGAGTTCCCTTGGGTCACCCAGGAATCAGGGACACATCAACTCTCAGACGCTGTTGCAACGGAAGATGTGCAGAACATTCGAACAGAACGGACGGGGTTGTCTCAAAAAGGACCCAAACAAATCCATGGTTGCCATGGTGTGTTATCTTTTTTGCCATTGAAATCGCAATTTTGCAATGATATCTCCATTAATTTTCCTTTACTTTCATTCAGCGTGACAAAGTTGCTTTGCATTCAGAAGCAACAGATAGGACCATCGAAACAAGTTACGGTGTGAACGGCCTGATAACAATGCGGCAACCTGTAGTCCTGCGGTGGGTCACAGACGTCACCAAGGATTGGGAGGATTAGTGCGGCGTACCGCCTTGCTGCAACACTTCTCACAGACCTCATCGCATTGTACCCACCAGAATCCAAGCTCCACCCTGGAGATAGCTATCGTCGATTTCAAAGACGCTTTCTAATTATCAGTGCAAGCTAGCCGAGGAGGAGAGAAAGCATGTGGTCGTAAAAGGTGGCAACACTTATATACTATGTGCTGGAAGTGGTGGCCTTCGGGGCTAGCATGCGGCCCTTTGCTCTGGTCCAGACTTGCTGGAAACTGACACTGAACATGCAGGACCTTGCCCCACTACCCTGAAGGTGTTGAAAACGAATGAACAGGTAAAGGATGTGCAAGTTGTATCAAGCTGTGTCTTTCTCGGGGGGAGGACTCTGTTTGAAACAACAACATGACTCTTTGAAAGATCGTCAAACTCCTGTTTCGGTTAACGCCCCATTCCAATTGAATTGCTAACTTGTTCCTCTTTTTGTTGAATCCATCATTGTGCAATGTATCAACTTGATCAACCCCGATGTTCCAACTGGGTATGTGAACCATTAGGTAATTATAGAATATTATAGGTAGGGGATGGTAGGGGTGTCGTAAGACTATAATTAGAGTTTACAAGTTTACGATGGTGGGCAAAGTATGACATACGAAAAATATGTTTACAGTATATGTGTTCTCAACCATTGCAAAAACTCGTCCCTCCGTTTCGTCGCTTTTCCAATCCCCCAGATGGAGTGCTGCAGTGACGCACTACGAGCAACCGCCCTGCCTGCGGCCTCAAAACATCCTGAGAGCTTCGGCATCCCTGCAGCGAAAACTATAACAATTGGGATTCAGATTCAATGTTTGACCCATGAATTATGGTAAAACATGGTAAAACGATGAAACATGGAGGTATAATTGGGATTTAACCTATGAAATGATAGAAAGATGAAGGTATAAACAAACAAGAATAGGAATAGGACGAATACTCTCATGTACCACATGATAGATTTTTATGAGACTGATACCATCAAAACGAAACATTGTGAAGTGACTGCGGTGGGATTTTATTCAATGTGTCAATTTTGAGATTCAGTTGTGTGCATGCTTCATTTTGATGTCATGTTGCCTTTTGGATTAAAGTCTCAAGTGAGACGAGCAGCACGTGCTGCAAGAGGGGTGAAGTCATTCATACATGTCGTCATATTACAGGTTGGAACATGCATACAGGAATACAATGACATGTTCACGGTCGACATGTTGAACATAACTTCACCACGATATATTTTCTTTTCGTGTGAACACCGTTCCTCCCACCTGTTTGAGCCATTGCTGCGCCTTTTGGTCATGGCAGTGGACATCCCTGTGTCCAATCAGATGACCATACCCATTCACTTCGCCTTGGCGCCAGAGATTACTCCGTGGACGCTGAATGACATCCTCCACCCCCTGGGGCTGGAGATCTTTGATGCGTGCGAAGTGAACGATTGGATCATTCCATTGAAGACAGGGTTGGTGACCCATTTACTCCCTGCCATAGAGACCATCCCGCAGCATTGGACGCCGTGGGACGATGAGATCCAAGAGGAATTTCGGTATCACCTCGTTTTGGGTGACCGGCAGCTTTACCAGACGGTCCAGGCCACAGCAGACGAGATTGGCATGCAGATCTACCTCGGCGCTCCGGGTGGAAGTGCTGCACTGATGCAGTACCAATAATGTATATAAAAATAACCATCAATCTGATATTGAATGAACTTCATTGCCAGATTCCATTTTAGAGCAATACTGTAGGAGGTACCATGGTAATCTTGCCATCCTGGTTTAATGGTTAACTGCTACTTTCGTGGCTACTGAGCAATCTAATGAGATATGATATTCCCTGGTCACTGGTTGGTGGTTTGGAACATTTTTTATTTTTCCATATATTGGGAATTTCATCATCCCAACTGACTAATATTTTTCAGAGGGGTTGGT